AATATATGAATATTTTACATTAAATTAAAGCAAACCTCTTTTACAATTAATGCAGGAAACTCAATGTATTTGTATGAAAGCGATCATATAATTAAGATTGCACAGTAAAATAATTCCAAGATAATTTATTATCTTATAGATAAAATAGGTATTATGTGTATGATATTATTTGAAAGGGTGTATTACTATACAACCAGACTACGTGATTTGTTTTTTGTCAATAAAATTAAATTAAACGAAATTTTACTGTATCGCAGAAAACGCTATTAATTTTTAAGGAAAGCCTGCAAAAGTTTCTAACATTTTACTTATATGATAATATTTATTATATTATATTATATATAAAAATATTTTTCTATAAAGCAGTAAATATGGTCATTTGAGAATTAAATATTCTATCTAGCATGAATTATATTATAGGAGAAATAAATCATAACGGAGCTGCTAGAAATTTTTTGATAGGTTTTCAATATAATTGTTTAATATTATATTCTATCTTAAATTATATCAATAATAGGTTCGGTAAACATTGCAAAAATATATAGTATAAAAATAGTTCTTCGCTTAATATAGTGATTATAAGCCTCTTACTTCAATTACAAAGGGTATTGTAAATAACAGTATTCAAAGTATCACGTTATTTCAGGAAATATTTATTATTAGAATAAATACTATAAAAATAGCTAATAATGTTTCTGAAGATAATATGATTCGATAAGACTAAGTCATGATAAAGGAGAAAAAGAGTACAACAACAATATTTTCTTACACTGATAAAGTATAGAGTGATTGTCAGAAAATATTGTTCACTAACACATACAATCTTGTTTAAAGTTGAAAGTCAGAGAGAATTCAAATTGTTATACGTGATTACTCTATAGATTACTCTAAATTCAATTTTTAAATATTTTTTATTTTATTTTACTTTTTTTATTAAAAATTATGTATTCACAAAACTCTGAACATCACTGTTAAATCATTAAAAATAAAATATATATATATATATATATTTACATATATTTATATTTTAATGAATTTCTCATGAAAATCTTGGATCTAATATCTTTCAATAAATTCTAGTAGTAATTTGAATATCTCATTATGATGTGATTAGTTTGTTATTTGCTGTATATATAGTTATATAGTTATATATATATATATGTATATAGTGATTAACTGTATATATTTTGGCTTTTTTGCGTTATATCTTATTTTAAATTCAATTTTTTTTATTTTTAATTTTATATTCATACAGTCATATACAATCCTTTTTTATGTAAATACTTTTTACAAATTGAATTCAATTATTTATCTATCAATTCAATATACACACTAAAAAAAATATTGAAACGTGCAACAAATTTTTTACTTTTCTAATGTTTTTTAACATAAATACAACTTAATGTAATCAGTATATAAGAGTAATATGTTAGAAATATATACTATACGTCATTCAAAAAAGAATCCTGGCTTTTTATAGCATCGATTTTTGTTAATAATTAATCATTTTTATGTATTTCTATCCTTGACTGAAAGCATGGTTAATTTTTTTTGTCACGTTGAATTATTTATAATTGTATATCATAACATGTGTATTTTTTCAATGTTGTTTATCAATTTTAATTAAGGTTTCACTTTTATTTTAGTATACATTATTTTAATTTATATTTATGCAGTAAGAAAATTGGTTTTGATTACGTAATATTTATACAATTCCATAATAATTTTCTTATTATATTTTTCATTCGAAGCTTTTATTATTAATAATATTTATTGTTTTAAATTATTGAATACACACATAATAAAATCAATGTTTCCAAGATGTGGACAATATACTATTCTGTACTCAAGTATTTTTATAAACGTTTTTAAACCACATTTTAAACCCTAATAAACATTAATCAAGTTTATAACTTATAGCCACTATTCTATCAAAATTAACATTTCATTAGAATTACATAGCCCGTTAGAGAGAGAGAGAGAGAGAGAGAGAGAGAGAGAGAGAGAGAGAGAAATAATAAACTCTATATTGAAATCTAGTTGATGAAGGTTCTTCTATACTATTGCAGTATCATTTGTTTTGTGAAATATTATCTATAGAATGTCCTGTTCCTGACAAAATAAATAACTAAATTTTTTCTTACTCATTATATAACAACCGATGTTTTCACTTTTCGATATGTGACAATTTTAAATGGAGAAATTTGATTTATTTATACTAAATATGTCAAGTGTAACAAAAACTAATAATAAAATTTATATGATTTTTTATAATCTGTGATATTAACTTAATCATTAATATCATGTTTACAAAGAAAATGTACCTACAGATAGTTATCACATAATATTCGTATTCTGTATTATATCAAACAGTATTTTTATTATGAAATAAAATAAATGTAATGTCTTAGCAAACAATATTAATAAAATTTATAAACTACTTGTTTATTTAATTTATTCGCGATCATACAAAAATTCAGTTTTAATTTTCTAAAATTTTTTCATAAATGTACAATACGTATTATGTAAAATATGAAGATGTAAAACTTTTAATTAATATACAGAAGCATATGATTTAAATTATAAACTTTCTGTTTTTTACATTTTTACAACAATATTAATTATATAAAATAAATATACTATAAAAACACATCTGTACATATTAAATTAGAAAAATTATTTATTTAATTAATAAAAATTAAATACTATTTTAAGATGCAATATTTTAATAGATTATTACATAATTTTTAAAATAAATAAGAAACATTTTTAAATAGATTTCATTGATTTTTTCCATATCATCTTATGTTAACTACAAGTAAATGATTTTATATAAAAATATTTAGCAATTGGCCGATATGGTATTTTTTAATATTCGTACCGTATATTTTTTATAGGCTAAGGTTCATAAAAAAATCATATTTTTTCGTCCATGATTTAAGAAAATAAAATATCAATATCAATATACATTCATAATAAAACACGTTCAATTTAAAAAGAAATAAATTCTTTAAATTATAAAACTAGTTTTCAATAGAAAATTCTCCTTTCATTATTGACAATTTATTTTCAATACCTACTATTCAATATCTTCAATAACAAATAAACTTTTATACAAGAAACTACTTTCATTTAATCTTTTATTAATGTTTTAAAACGAATACAATAATGTAAAGTTCATATTTAATATTATTATTTTAATGATATTTGAGAATTTTTCTAGTATTATAATAGAACTACAATTTGATGTAATTTTGATTAGTTTATATTAAGTATGCTATTTCAACAGAATTTCTTTTAATTAATTACTAATTACTATTATATAATAATTCGAAAAAAATAGAAAAAAATAGAATATTTAAATATATCAATATATTATATACATTTTTCTATACAAATTAGAATATTTAATTTGAATATATTTATATTGAAATATTTATATATTTAATTTTACGGAAGTGGGATCAGTTTCCTAGCTAATGATTACAATTATATATAAAATTATACAACAACATATAATGTCTAAAATAATATCTAATATATAAAATATTCATGCTGTCTTACAATCCAAAATGTTTTAAAACATATTTATTATATTACATTTAAAACGTTTTTATTATAAAAATATAATATTTATGAATTTGTGTATAATTACATTTGTGTGTATTCATAAGTGTTTGATTATTGTTCCTGATATCTATCTTTGTCAAATTGAATAAAATATATCTTTAAATTTTATTATAACAAATTATATATTAATGGAATTTAAATTAAATTTATCTTAATCCTAGTTATCAAATAAAATATTTTTGGATTTTTTTTCAAATTTCTAAGTAAATATCTAAGCTCCAATACACTAAACTATATATAAATTTTATACCAAATATGAATAAAAAAAAATAAAAAGTATAAATTAACTATATTTGCTATATTAATAGATTTATTAAAAAATATTATGTTAACTATTATTCATAAACAATTTGTTAAATTTTTTAAGAAAAATTTAAAAATATAATATAATTTTTATCTATAAAAATATTTGAAAGTAATAATTATCGTATATACTATCTTCTAAAAACTATGTACAGAATAGTACGTTGTATCAAGAATTAAATTTATCTATTGTATAAAAAGTTTTTTATTATAGATATGTATGTACATATACATATATCTTGTTATTATTCTTCTTAAATTAATATTAATGTTCCACTTCTTATCTTGCATATGTAAAAATGAAGCCAATAAGTAATTAATATGTATAGATATTTTTATCTATTAGCTTTATTGTTTTAATAATAAATAAAACAATTACAAAATTGTCATAAAATAAATATTTAAAATGAAAACATATTTCATACATTAACAAAAATTAATCAATAATTCTATGGATTATAAAAGAAAAGTTATTGTGTAAATAATTTCACGATACATAAAATAATATACAATACTTAAATGTCAATAAAAAATAAAAAATTAATAATTGTGTTTTTGGATTGTAATATATGAGTAGATAGTATTTTAATTATACGTATACAATTTAATATTTTATAAGTAAAATTTATTCAAAAGAATGTAGTAGTAATATGCATTAGGCAACTGTTTTGATAGCCATTTAATTGCTTTTGTTGATTAGTTAAGGTTATAAAGTAAGAGTTGATTGATCGGTATAACCGTTTATTAGAAACAAATTCACACATATCAATAATTAGATTTAACAAATAGAAATAATTTTCCTCTGTCTAGAAATCTTATCATATTTATCCAATTCTGATATATATATATTACAGGATAAATAAAGATAATGGCGTATTCTACAGCAATAAAGTCAAAATTTGACTACAATCACGTATAACTCCCTACTATTATCCGTGTTCTGGTACAGCAAAATGAAAAGCGCCACTAGTCGTCAGCCGAAGACGGGCTTGTAGTTTCGTACTTAAGTGCAGCATTGATTGAGCTTGGTGCCCATCTAACTAGCCGGTTTACATTTATGCTCGCAGGACGTTGAAAGGGGGGAAGCAAAAGACATCACCTCGCACATAGTGGGGCGTCCTTCAGTGGGTATCTTGGGGGCCACCTCCGTCGTCTCCCTTGACTGCGAAACGGTAGCAGTAGCACCTGGTGGCAGAGGTGATAGCATTAGTTCCTCATCTTCCATTCGCCGTTGGACTGTAGTCACCCGTCTGCTACGGTGTCTGCTGTTAGCGATGTTTCTACTGGCTGGCCTTTTAGCCGCACTCACCGCCCTCTGGCTTTACATGGGTTCGCTATTCATTGTTCAGCTTTGTTTAGTAGCTATTGTTGCATATTTCGTCGCTGGCGGTAGACTTCGATGGTTTTACATTGCATTCAAGACAGCACCGCGTGATATCAAGTAAGTAATAATATTTTGCATATGCTATAATCACTTGGACTTCTCTTGTAACATAACTTAGGGACATTGCCTATCAGCGTTTCATAAATTAATCTTAATTCCGTTCGTTTTTCAATTACAAATTATGTTGCTTTTAAAAAATACTGAAAAAGAAAGTAATGTATATGTATATATATACTATAAGTAATATACTCATTATATACACTCATTGTGGGTGATTGTGTGTTATGTTACAAATCATAGAAAAGCGTATATGCCATTAAACCAGTAACTCGCTCTTTTTATTTCTTCTTCAAAGTACTGACCTTTCTGTATTTCATATATTATCTTTGCATCAGTGGCTATTTCGACACATTCATAACTTTTGAAACAAGACTATCTTCCGTCATCACTCGCGCCACCATCGCTACACGCCACATTCTCACTTTCTCCTAATATACACATCATATCAGAAAACGCTAGAAGTATCTTCTCTTCTCTCTCTTGTGCGTAAGTGTACTTTCTCTGTATATAACATGCATTAACAACCAAATTACCTAAATTTGAATTTCACGATGAACATTAAATTTGATTAAATTTCTCTAGTTTCTAAATCGAAAAGTTTACGATATATATAATGTATGTTATATATTTCGCAAAAAAAATTAGCAATCTCATAGAAATAATTTCTAATTCTTGTTTTTCTGTATACCCTATCTATGATCAAATTAATAGTAAACACAAATTCTATTCGATTTTCGTCTTTAATTTCAGTTTATCCTTTGTTTTGTATTCAAAGTATAAAGGTCAGTTGGTGACAATTTTTTGTTAATTCTTACGTAAAGCGTTTAGCATAAAATATACATTTTTTAAATTCATTAGCTTGATCGTTTTTTACTACTTATGCATATTTTATACTTTAGTGTTTATTGTATTAGAGAAATAGATAATACCTTTTCTTTACTTCACCAAATTGACACATTAAAATTGAACAAATAATATAATTTTTATTAAAACGTTAAAATATTATTTTTTAAGAATTACAATCTTTAATTAAACAAAATTCTTGATTTCAACAAGTTAACTTACCATTATTTATTGATATTGTTTATTTTATATTTTCATTAATTTATTATTAATTCATTAATTTATTATATATTGTTTCCAGGCATATAAGCTTTTGGATTAATGAATCAACCTACTTTCACTCACAAAAAGTACTAAAAATAATTACATAATTATATTAGTATATTTCAACAAAATAGTGTTTCGCTCATAAATACAATTTTACTTTAATTACATATAAATTATTCATAACATATTAATATACTTTCATGATTTCCAATCTTTAGATTATGATTCCATACAAATATTAATCTTTACATATTTACCAAAAATTATTTTATTAACCAAGAATTTCTTAAAACAATTTATTTTTAATTTATTACTTTTTAAGTCCATCATTAATTATATACTTTAAATAAATATTTAAAATAATATATTTCTAAATTTTAATAAAGGATCTAACTTTTTAAATAAAAAATATGTAAATTAATATTTAACTACATCTTTTATATAAAATTATATAAATATATAAACAATGTTAATAAATGTTTTATATTTTATTTACAAAATTATTATACAATGGGAATAATTAAGGTTTTTAAAATTTAAGATCATTTTAAAAAAGTAATAGAATAAATTACTTGAAAGTTAAAACTAAAATAAAATCATTTTTTCATACAGAAATATTTAAATTAATAATTTTCAAATATAGCTAACAAAGGGCCTTATTAATTAGATAACATGATCCCACAATAATTAAAATTTATTATGACTTTATAATAGTGGTCTAAAATAATAATACAAATGTATACTTAAACTGTTCAATACAATTTGATAATTACAGAAATTTTAATTAAACATTCCCAAATATAAAATATTTTTGTATCTTTTTTTATAAAAAAAAAACAAATATTACAATTTAAATTTAAAGTATAAGTACTTTACAAAAGAATTTTACAAATTATAATTTTAGTTATTCTTAATATTACATAATACTATTTAAATGATTTTTTGCTTAAAAAATAAATTTTGTTCGATGATTTATTACAAACAAACTCAATATTTTAAAACACATTTATTGAAATATTTTTCAAAATTTTACTTATAATGTTTCTTTGATTTAGATACATTTATTAGATAATATTTTTATAACATAATTTATAACATAATTTTATAATTTAACTGTAATTTTATTACATTAATATTCTTGGATGCAAAAAATTAGTTTAAATAATATTGATATTTGCAAAAGAATCTGTCAGCTTAAATAAGTTATTACATACATAGAAATACTGTACACCCATATTAAATTATTTTTCAATACGTAAAGAGTATCATTTCTTTTAGGGTATATTGAATTTTATTTTAAAAACTGTATTTCAAAAGTAATCAGTGACATTTTTTAATGCTTTTCCTTATTCTCGCCAATTATTAAATTATTATTCACTTAATTGAATTTATTTATGAGAATAAAAAATTAGCTTAATGATTAAAAATTTTTTAATAAATTCGAAAATATGTACAAAAATTTTTATATTCATAAATTGTAAATTATTGAAATATTAATTTGATTACTTCAATAATTCACATTCTGAAATAACAAACCACTTAGAAATATTTTCATCACTAAGAATTATTTGTATATTACACAATATATAATATTAGTAAAATTGACTATAGATCTTAATTTTACTTAAATTTACATAAATTTTACATAAATTAAATCATAATTTTAATATGAAAATACCTTAAAACAAATATTAATATTTTTTATTTTAAAACAATCTAAAATTAATATATCATAGTTACTATATCCAATAAAATATATTGATTTTAAAAGCATATGATATTTTTGAAACTATGATAGTAATTTATTTTTAGGGCAATTTGTCGTTATAGTCGCTTATTGTGGGCGATAAAAGATCATGAGAAGAAACATCGGAGCGTCGCTGACGTATTTCAACAACATGTTGCTCACAATCCTAATAAACCATGTCTTATATTTGAAGATCAGGAGTGGACATTTCAACAGGTATACACATTTGTCATAAATTTAAAAGCAAATTAATTGCACTTTATCAAATAATTTATATGGTCGATTACATTATATTGAATATAAAAGTTATGGGAATTGCTAATATCATATGAAATATTTATTAATTAAGTAATATAATTACTTGGGATATTTAAAATATATATATTTCAATGAAAGTTTAGATCATTTTCATTATGTTTTCTGTGACTTTACTACAATTTTTATAAACGGATAATATGAAATTGTTAATTATAAATTTATTGATCAATATATAATATTTAATTTATTAATTATATTTAAAAATAAAGTTACGATATAATAGTTTTTAAATGACAAAATAATTAATAATTAAATAAATAGTTACTCAATACTGTGCATCATATTTATTTTTTTAAATATATCTTATTATAAATACATATTTCAAATAAAATTAATTTATTACATAAATTAATTTTTTTTATTTTATTACAAATTTTTAATAATTTAATATTTTTAATATATATATATTTTTATCTACTATTTATTTAGGTTAATTTGGCATTTTCTTGAGTACCTAATAAACATATTTTTATTATTACAACTAACTTATTAAAATTAAAAATATAATATAAAAAACAAACAAAAGAAGTCAAAAGAATTAATTTAAGAAACGTAATTTAAATTATTAAGATAAATGATATATTTTTTTAAATGTATTTTTCAGATTGAAGATTATAGTAATAAAGTTGCTTATGTATTTAAAACCCATGGCTACAAAAAAGGTGATGCAATCGCACTTTTATTAGAAAATCGACCTGAATATATTGCTATTTGGCTGGGTCTCAGTAAACTGGGCATAATTACTCCACTTATCAATACGAATTTAAGAAAAAGTTCTCTACTTCATAGTATTACTGTAGCAGAGTGCCAAGCATTAATTTATGGTTTTGATTTAGCAGAAGGTATATAAAATTACATTTTTATTTTTATGTATATGTATATAAATAATTAATAGGGGTTCATTTTAAACTATTAATTTTTACAAAATTTTGAATTCAAAATCATAAAAGTATTGAAATCTATATCAAAAACCAATTCTTTAGAATATTAAATTTACATATTAAAAATTAAAAAAGGAATTAGTCTTCAAATTTGGAAATTATGCTTTATATTTTTATTTATATAAGCTTAATATTTAAAAGAATTGTTTGCCCTAAATTAAAACATTTTTGTAACTTTAAATTCCAAGTTGCAAAAGTTTATATGTGTATGTGTATGTGTGTGCGCGCGCGTGTGTGTGTACGTATATATTCTGTAAAATTCTATTAATATAGAAAGTTTATTAAGTTCTAATAGTTTTTCAGCTTCAAAAAAATAATATATGAATTCTATTGTATTCATCTATATGATTTAAAAAATCAGTATCATATTATTAATTGTATTTCGTTACTTATTAGTACATATATTTAGTACAAACATATATAAATGTGTTCATTGCATTCAATTTAAAAATAATTTGTACATAACAGGAAGCCTTTATTTAATAAAATTAAACAATTTTTAAGTATTTATATGAAAAGTATTATTATAGGTTTTTAAAATGGTTTCATACTTTTAGAACAATTTCAAATAATACAGTGCATATTAATTAATTTTTAAATTAATCTAAAAATATTTTTAATTGATTACATTTATTTGCATACTAAGTACTAATTTATACAGTAAGTATTAATTTTATTTGTACAAAAGTAATACATGAATTTACTAGCAAAATTTTATATTATTTGTTTAAGAAAAATTGTTAATTATCCTTTATATTTAATTAGAAATAAACTAATTAACTTTTTAATTTTTATAATATAATGCATTTTTTTAATTTAAGATTTTTAAATTATTTAGAATTTCAGTAGTTATTTTTGACAAATGATCAATACATTTAAAAATCGTCTAATAATAAAATTAATAGTTTTTTAATCTAAATCTTGTATAATTCTAGGAAACTATAATTATTAATGATAAGTATTCATAATATATATTCATAATATTATTCATAATTTAAATAAATATTATGAATAATAGACACTTGGAAATAAATAAATTATACAGTATTAAAGATATAAAGACACAAAATATGTAAACTTTATTAAATTATTAGTTCACTGATATCACTACTTTATATAAGATAAATTAAATAAATTGGGTACTAGCAAATATTTTTGAATTTGTTTCACTTTTTAATATATTTAAATAATGTCTTTTTTTGTATAAAATACTAAACTAAATCTAATACATTCAATAAAAGTTTAATATATATTATAATAAAATTTTTATTAAAAAATTTTTAATTATTAAGAATACTGTAATAGTACTTGAAATCTAAAAACATATTATTTAGATTGCATATTTAAATATAAATATAAATTAAATAAATAAAAATTATTTATTGCTTATATTAAAATTTTATTTCTATAATAAACTAAAAGTAAATAATACATTTTTTTTGTTATTCTATTTAAACAAAAGAGTGTGTGTTGTGACAAAATATAAAATTCTAATTTTATAAAAAAATTGAAATTTGAAAAGTATATATTTTAATGAAATTTTTGGTACTCAAAATTAGTTTAATAATAAATATGAAAGTCACATGAATATATGACTATGTACAATAACTCTTAAAATAAAATAAATTGTTTTAAACTAAATCTAAAATAATATTTTTTTAAGAAAACTTGTTCACATATTCTATAAATAGTAACATTAATTATATATGTATGTATGTATATTAATCATTATAAAATATATTTCCTTTGCAATATTTTATATATTTCCTTTAGTTGAATAATGCATCAAAGCAAATAATTTTTTCAAAACGTGAAATACTAAACTGATTATCTTATAATTATATTCATGTCACAGCGGTAAAGGACATTGCACCATCTCTGGATTCAAAGTTATCTCTATATCGACTGTCTGATGATGTAAATACACCGAAGGATGAATTAGAAGCAAAGGAGCTTGGTCATTTTTTGGCTGATGCTCCAAGTATGCCCCCAGTTGTCAAAGACAAAGGCTGCTATAGTGATAAACTTATGTATATATATACAAGTGGTACGACGGGTCTACCTAAAGCAGCGGTTATTACCAATTCCAGGTATCTGATATAACGCAATATATTTTTTCATATTCAAATAGTATTTTAAACGATTAAAAATATCTACAAACAAATTTATAAATCTTAAATAATAAAGGAAGCTTTTTTAGATTAAAATTAAATTAACAATATTATTAATCTACATATTATTTTTAAAGAAATAAAGAATTCAATATATATATTTATAAAAATAAAGAAATTTTAATATATTTAAATTAAAAAATTAAATACTTTATGCGTAAGAACAAAATTTCCATTTATTGCAATTGAATGAAACGTTACCTATTTATTAGTATATTAGGATTCATAAAATAATTTATTATTTACTCTTTTCAGATTTATGTTTATTGCTAGTGGTATTTATTACTTAGCAGGATTTCACAACTCTGATAGATTTTATACACCTTTACCATTGTATCACACAGCAGGTGGTGTAATGTCTGTAGGTCAAAGTTTATTGCATGGTGCCACAACTGTTATTAGAAAAAAATTTTCTGCTAGTTCGTACTTCAGTGATTGTATCAAGTACAACTGCACGGTGAAATTACTTTTTTATTACATCAAATTAAAAATTAAATTTTTATAAAATTATTGAAAAATTTAAATATTTTATATCTAAAAAATATTCATTAGCTATTAACATATTTATTTAAATGTATTAATAAAGATTAGATAATATTGCTTTGTTAAACTTTAAATATTTTTCAATTAAATTTTTCAAGATCTTATACTAAAAATATGAACTCTATCTGCATTAGGTACTCTCCTATTTTAATATATATTTTTAATAAAATGCACTTAATTACAAATACAGTTTTGTATAATATTAAGAAATCTTATACATTTACATTTGTCATTTTAATTATATTTTTGCACTAACAAAGATTTAATCTACAGAGAATTTAAAATAGTAAATTATGTTAAATATATTATATAAATTGTTACGTATAATAATAGAAATTCCTCAATGAGTTTCAATTAGCTAATTCTTTAAAGATCATTATATTTAATTCATAATGGTATATAATAGTTATACAAGTAATATTAAAAAAGGAAGATAAGATTTTCAATTTTTTCAATTCACTGAAAATTTTTATTTTTATTTAAATTACTTTATTAAATATTTTTATTTTGGTAATTAAATAATTTATAATCCATAGTAATTGTATAATATTGCTTATACATAAAGTTATATATACATATAAGTACATTATATATAAATTTATACATAGAATATAGAAATTAATAATATTCAATAAATAACTATATATAAGTACATTATGTGATAATATATTAAATATTTATATAAATATTAATATGTAATCAATTATTAATCAAGAAAATAAGCATAAAATTTTGTAGATTCTAAAAAAAATCTTTGAAATGAATGATCTAACATTTGAATCTTAACAAAATGTTTGTTTTATTTTAAATTCTTGCTAACAAAATTATAGCGTAATAATAAATATTATGATATGTAATTGTAATATTTATTATATATAATATTTGTGATCATTATATCTTATAGTAAAAATAAATAAGAATACTTGTCCATACTTTTACAATAAATGTATTCAAAACTTTTATAAGTGTTTATTCTTATCTTTAATTTTTTTTCAATTATTATTATAAGATTATTTAAGGTTTTGAAGTATCTACTATTTTAATTGTGATCACTGATAATTGTGAATTTTAATAACATTAGGTGATCTTACAAATTATAATTTTTCATGGTATTTAAATTTAAATATTAATATAAAAAAAAATTTTTAATTACATCAGGTATCGCAATATATTGGAGAAATGTGTCGATATATATTAGCAGTACCTTCGAGTCCAGAAGATATAAAACATAATATACGCGTTATATTTGGAAATGGTCTAAGACCACAAATTTGGCATGAATTTGTCACCCGATTTGAAATTCCTGAAGTATGTGAATTTTATGGTGCTACTGAAGGCAATGCAAATATAAGTAAGAACAAATAAAAAATTAAATAAAATTTTATACAATTTTTTAAAAAATTTTAGATGTGCTTCATGCAGTATTATTATATAAAAAAATTCAAATTAATTAATACATTATTTTGATTTTGAATATATGAACACTAAATAAGATAAACAATTTTCATTTGTGTAACATTTTATATTATGTATTTAGATAATTACTAATTTATTATTAAATTTCTTATTATTTTATTATAAAAACAATTCAATATATACCATTTAAATACATATTTGTAAATATTCTATTTTAATTTTAGTTAAATTCTAAACAATATATTTTTAATTATTATGATCTTATGTGTTAAAGGATGTAACATATATTATGAGATAAATTCTATACTTTAATTTTATTCAATTCATTGCAGTAAACATTGATAATACAATAGGAGCAATAGGCTTTGTATCTCGCATATTACCTGCAATATACCCCATTTCAATTATCAAAATTAATGCTGATGGGGAGCCAATTAGAAATTCCAAAGGACTTTGTCAAGTATGCGAACCAAGTATGTGTAGCTAATTATTTATATAAATGTCTATCAAATTTTATATAATAATTGTAAATAAATTAATTTTCATTTTTTAATATATTTTTATTTCTATTAAACATATTTAATATATACTTTTTAGATGAACCTGGAGTTTTTATTGGTAAAATTATTCCACATAATCCTTCTAGAGCATTTTTAGGATATGTAGATAAAAAAGCATCGAAGACAAAAATTGTTCATGATGTATTTTCAAAGGGTGACTCTGCATTTTTATCAGGTAAGAATCTAATTTAGTAAATAAATTCTTATTTGTTGATTTAACAATTATAATATTTCTTTATATTTTTTTAATGAATTTACTTTAAAAAAAAATTGAAAATTATAAAAAATATTTAAGATCTTTAAGTGTACCTAAATATTCAAATTATGACTTTTTTTTAATTTATTAAAATATGAAAATTTTAAAAAGGTTGTAATACTATTTGATTTATATACTTGTAGTTTAAACAGTTATTAATCATAAGTAGAAGATAATAATACTTCAAATCGTATTCAATCACGTATTAATCAATGTCTTAATTTTAATTTTTATTATTATTGAATTTAAATTTTCGTTTGAAACTTATGAAAAAAGAAAAAGTTATAAGGCAAATCAATGTAACTTTTACAAAAAATGTAATAATTAACAAATATGTTTAATATGAAATGGATAAAGAATATTAGATTAAACAAATATTACAAAATGACATTAATTTGCATAAATTAAATTTGTACTTAAGATTAACTTACCTTAATAAATGAGAAAATTAAATCAGTTACATCTATAGTACTTTTTCTCTTATACTTTCTGTCTGAATATTAGTACACTCATTATAGTCTTGATTACAGCTGTATTTCATATTATCTAGTATCATAATTCAATGTGTATATAACATTCAATTAATATAATATAATGGTATTTAAAATATATTTTATTTATAACATACTTAATTATATATAATTAAAATAATATATATCTAATTTGTGTATAACAATTTGTTAAAAAATTTCTTTTTATGTATTTGTTTTCACGTTTTACTTTTTTTTCTTTTTTGAGAAAAACTCATATTTAATATAGTTTTGGCTGAAAAAACCACTTCTTACTATAATTTATTAAAACATTATTTTTTTTTTTAAAAATATAATTACAGGAATTCACAATTACATTAACATCTGGATTGAAAATAATCAAAAATATTCATCTCATATCGATTTTCATTCAATATTAGGAATAATTTTATAATATAGAAATTTGTAATTTTTATATACATTTTTAATTATTATTTAATTTAATTATTAACGTAGATTAGAAGAAATAGAATCAATGGATAAATGTATTATGTTAATAAATTATTTAGCATTATTTTACAGATATTAATTTATTTTTAATTAATCTATGCATCATTATTGGCACTTTTTATATATCTTGAGTAAATAGTATTAAATATGTAAAGCATGGAACAACACAATATTAAGTATACTTGCAAGAAATGGACAAGTAGTTAACAAACTCGGAAATAAAAATAACAGAGTGAAGAAACAGAACTTCTGTAGATCACAGCATAAACCGTTAAAAAATGGTACTAAAAATCTATTATTTTTATTTTTAGACTGAAAAAAAATCAATATTATTTGTATATTAATATCAATAGAATGTATTGTGTTTACTTATTATTAATAGTATCTAAAAACTAAAAAGAGGATTAAGTCACTTTAGAAAAAGATATTGCATTTCTTTAAAATCTTTAAATATGTTTCAATTATTCAGAAAATGTTATGACAAAAAAAAACATTTTAAATTGAGAATTCGTATAATAAAATACTTTCAAATCTTCAAAATACATGTTCAAATTTTAAACACACCCCATTAATAAAATTAAAATGAATATAATTATATACTATATATTATATAAAAACCAACTTAGAGTATAAATAACAGAGATACACAAAATAGAAATAGACACTACGAAGTTACATGTTAACGAAATGAAAGCATTTACAAAAGATTCTACTTCTCTAATGACCTATTATGAAATAGTTAAGAAATTTATTTTAGCACAATAAAGAAAAAAAATAGAGGACTTTTAAAGAAGTGTTTTTTAATAATTCAATAGGTTCATTCGAAACTTATAAAATTCAGAATAATATTTACTAAGAAAATATTTATTTGTAATAACAGCAGTAAATAAGTAAAAAGATCTAATATTTAATTATTTAAGAAAATACTGTATTTTGATAGGTATATATTATAAATATGCATTATACGAATGAATAGAGATATTTTATTTATCTTATTGTGTATTGAGTTATTGTGAAAAATATTTAGTTAATAAAAGTAGAAATGTATCGATAAGTTAGATAGTTATTTTCCGTTATCCTTAATCGAGTTGTAATTCATTTTTAAATATCAGCAATACATTTTTTGTATTGTTATACTTTTATTATTTATTCATATTTTAAATATATTGAATATACAAACGTATTGAAAACTTAAATCGTAAACCGATTTTACTCACCAATGCTATATATACTGCATTATAAATGTTTTTAAACAAACTTTAATACTTTGCTAATTATCTTGGACAATAAAAATTAAATTTACTTTAAAATAAATTGTTTAATTTTGGACCCATTTATATTATTCCCTTTTAGAGCATGTTTTATGATATACTTATGTAAAATGTAATTATGAAATTGATATTTATTTTATATTTTTAATGAGATTAGAAGAATATTATGACATTTTAATTATAGTTTTACCGTTATTCATTTTAAATAAGAATATATAAATGATTATTATAAAATGATGCATTTATAATTATAATATCGTATTGCAAAATATTGTAAAATACTATTAAAAAATTGATTGCATAAATAAAAAGTACAACATTAAATATATTTAATGATAAAAATATGACAAAAATATTTACAAATATGTATATTCATAAATACCGTAAGGAATAGTGAAGTTTTTTCGTGCAACGACTTTTCGATGAAAAATAGCACATTCATAGCAAAACTTAGCAACGTCAATTCCTTATCAAAATTGTAATAAAATGTAAGAAAAGCCTGAAGAATTAAATAATAGATAGTGATAGTTTTAGGTCTTCTTTTGACATATTTGTACCGAGAGATGTTTGTATGATGAAGTAAAGCATTCTTCAGCCTTAAAAAAAAATATTATTTTTCTTATTCGTTTACATTAGAAATTTCTCATCCAATATTAGCATCTTATATAAATATTTAGTTCCTGTTTATTCAAATAAATCATGATGTCTGTATTAATCACATTAAATGTTATTAATATAAGTTCAGTTTGAATGCCTATAGATTAAAAAAGAAAATGTTATAATTGACAGATATACATAATAAACAATTATGTAAAAGATGATATATTATGTCAAAATCAAATGGAAGACGACTAATAAACATACTTATTATGTTAAATGTGCATGGTTTAAAATTCAATAAATATTCTCTAAAACTGCATTTTCAAAGTTAAAACTCATATTTTCTCTTATATAATTTTGTTAATTACTTAACTCAAAAGTTTTTAATCTAAAAATATTTTTCTGATTAATAACTATAATTTTATAAATAAAAAATTATCGTACAAAAATTTGAAGTTGATTTTCATGATTCGTAATCTTATTCTAATTATTTTTGCCTTTAATCCTTCGATAAACGTTTTGAAAATTTTATATAAAATAAATTTGTTTATTTATGTATATTTATTTATTCATCTGTTTCAGATTATTTCACTTCACGTAAAAAGGATCATCGCAAAGCATCTTTTGTAATTTTATTCTGTAATATTGATCACATACAAAATAGTGTATTGAAGAAATAATTATAAAAGTAAATTTAATAGAAATTGAAGAAGGCCTTAGACTGAGGCAGATTTTAAAAAATAAACAGTTCTTCATTCTCTCCTCCCTTGTAACGAGGGTGGACAGCTTGTCTGATTGACGCTTTGAAATAGGTGGTTTCTTGGAAATAATCAAGCAATTCCCCATCCTCTAAGAACGTAAAAGCTAGTCGTCACTTTAAAAAGGCGGGCGGATCACTGCGCAGCATCGATCTTTTATAATCATCCCGATAAAAATTTAATACAATTACTAGAATGGAAATGTCGAAACCGAAAAAATAAGTCGAAATAAAAAAAAGTAATAGAATGCTTCGATCTAAATCGAATAGTGTTACATCAACGGTAAGAGGCGTCAGTTCATACCAGCAGGGCAAGAGATCATGTGGCTCCTATATCGTCAATCAGTCTCATCTCTGTAGGAGACAATCAAATTTTGAGAAGTGTCAGTTACTGTGGAATCTTCACTTAAATCTTCTCAGTATCAACAGAATACTATTTGCTCTACATACTTTATGATAGTAATTTCTTGTTACTGTCCCTGTCTCTTCTTTTCTTTTCTAATCTTTGGATTGTATCAAGTCTTGTAAAAACCAACGCTCGGGAGCCGACATATGCATCTATTTTAAATGGCAAGATGCTCTTATATGTCAATAAGACACGAGAAAATAATGTAAATAATCATCAGCTGTATTTTATTTATTCTGATATTAGTAGTATGGAAAAAGAGAACCCAGAGAATTTCAAAAAGAATACGCAACATTTTGGGTTATTGTTGAATAAATAGTTTGCTTACGATTTTAAAAATGCAGTTTTTAGGAATAAAAAGTTTAAGATTATTGCATAGGATTAAGTATTATTTATTTATAAATAAAAATATATTTTTAATTTTGCATAATCGAATGTAAAACATGCGAATATTTGCATACATTTATCATGTGTACTAACTTCAGTTTTCGTAAAAGATTTTCGGAATGCAGATTATTACTTTATAATTCGTTCATTTAGTCAATTATAAATCACTTAAATATGCTATTATTGATATCATAGTTCATCTAATAAATTTTTATTTTGAATTCATTTTCGAATGCAATAAATTATAGTTTATTTTTATTTAAACCATTGCCAATCAGGTATTTTTGCAGAAAATTTTTATTAAACTAGCGTTTATATCTGAGTTTGATGGTTCTAAGACACCTTACAGATAAACAAATATATAAATAGATACATAATACATAAACCACAGCCGTTCCCTTTATCTAGATTGATTTTGATAAGAAATACCAACTTTTTAAAACTTATTTCAATCATTTTAGTTTGATCATCCAGAAAATTTAAAGGGATACTATTGAAAAATGTGATTTCAGCAAAGAAAATTTCATATTAAATTAATTATTAAAATATAATTTCGTAGAAAATGTAAGAATACAAAAATTAAATTGTTTAGTTTTATGATTTAGTAATCCAATATGATAATTAAAATTAAACAGTCATAAAATTGTATTCAAATAAAATAATTTTGAGCTTATATCATTATTTGTAAAATTGTTGGTCAATAAGAAAAAAGTAAAACAACTCTGTTACTCATTGTAAACATAAATTTGAAACATTTTTCAAGATTTTTATCTTCAGTTTTACAATATAACATTCAAACCTTGATTAATTTAAAACAATAAAAATTCTTCGAAAATATTTAATGATATTTAACACATTAAAAATAAAATAAATAATATATAAATAAATCGTATTATACTTCATATTTAAGAATTTTCGAAGCTGAAAAATGAAAACAAATATATAAACTGATTATGTGTATTTTTATATCTTGCCATTTTTTACCAGTGTATATTAGGTATATAAAAATAGTTCAGTTTTAAACATTAGAAATTTTAAAGTGTAAAGTTTTAGAAATTTAGCTTCAGCAACAAGTAATTAGCTAATACTACTATTACTAGAAACAAGCAAAAATACAAATTCGATCAAATTAAATTATAAAATTAATATTTTTACTGTATTTTCAAAACTTATATATTTAATTATTTGAATGAATATTTTAAATATAATCATTCATTTATATCATAAAATACAATTGTACGTTATTGATTATGAAAGTTTAATGTTTTTAATGATATTGCAAGATTAATAATAATAACGCTTTTAAAATATCTTAAGTAAAATTATAAATTTTTAATATTTTGAGTCTATCTTTAAAAATTACAGAATATAATATTAATTTTACCATCTTTAATTTATTTGATTTATTTCATGTGTAAATTTTATTCACCAGAACAAGCCAAAATAATATATTTATTTAATATATAATACCTACCTTTTAGCATTAATTATTTTTATATATATTTAAAAGATTAATATCTTTTAAAAATAATAAAAAATATTTATATAAAGAAATTAATATTTATAAAATATTATGTGTCTCAGGTGATATTCTTGTAGCCGATGAACTTGGTTATCTATATTTCAAAGATAGAACTGGAGATACCTTTCGTTGGAAAGGAGAAAATGTTTCGACATCCGAAATTGAAGGTATCATTAGTAATCTCATAAATTATAGGGATTGCATTGTTTACGGCGTGGAGGTAAGTTTTTTTAATTTCTTTGATTTCATGTCATACATATTCATATGGATGCGGATTTTATCTTGTATTAAATCTATGTATTATATCATAGGTATATGGAATAGAAGGTAGAGCTGGAATGGCAGCTATCTACGATGTACATGGTTCATTAAATATTGAAAAATTAGCAACTGATATTAAGGAACAATTGCCAGTCTATGCAAGGCCGCAATTCATTAGAATATTAACAAACCTCGATCTCACTGGTAAGATTGCTTTATTTCGCATTTTTATAATTTGCTATATAATAATGTACTTTGATATTATAAAATTTATTAATTACATGTGTGGTTTTATATTAATCTATATAAAAAAAATTGTTTGCTTAAATTAAAATTGATTTAAATATTATCAAGTTACTTGGTATACATTTGCTTTATTTATAAATAAGTTGAAGTTAAATAAATAACTGTAATAAATTATTTTTAATGCATAACTAAATATGCAAAAAGTATATGAATCCTAAATCAAAACAATTTTTCAAAAAATTACGCTTTTACAATAAAATTGAAACAATGTTTTAAAGTTATGAATGTATAAAGTAATTTATTACTATATATATTCATTGTTAAATTCTTTAATATGAATTTTTTAATTAATTGTGTGATAGGTTACGTCATTTAATATCAAATTAATTTAATGGATAGTCATTACAAAGACTAAACAGACAAGTTTATTACAAAATAAATATAGTTATGAAATATTGGTTATATCTATGTTGATAAAATAAAGAAGAAAAAATACGCTACATAAAATTACTATCACATGTCCTTTGTTTACATACTCATACTCCAGTACTTTAAATTTCAAGCATCCTGGTTTTCTTGTTAATTATATCAATGATTCAAGTCATTGATTCTTGTTTTTCGCTAGACAATCTCTTCATTTGCCAATAAAGAATTAATTAAAATTAAAATTGAATCATTTTTATACTACTTACAAATAATATTTGTAATTGATAATTAACAGTAAAATGCTAAGTATGACTATTATTTTTTGCATTTTTACATGTTGAAAAGCTAATTGCTAGCTATTGCAGATTTTTTATTACATGGAATCGAGATGAGGGATATTATACCCTCAATTACAATCTTAATTATAAATGCATACAATTTTTCAAAGTAATATCAATATTTTATTATTGTTAATTACATTTTTAAAGAATATATAAATTCAATAAAATCTTTTCAACATTATACATGTTTACCTCTTTGTTCATGGTATCAGTGCATGGATTAATTCAAATATATTGAATATTTCTATAAAAAATCTAATTTTCATCGATTAATACGAAATCAAAATAATATTTAATAAATTATTTATAGTTTGATACATAGATATCTTAGTAACAATTTTATTTTAAATTAAGTCTTAAAGAAAATTCTTAAAATTTGAAAGTTAAATTTTATCTTCCATACAATCAAATGTAAACTAAATTACTTTAACTATTACTTATATATTATATAGTTTTTATATAATAATTACACTATATAATTATATTATATAGTTAATTATTTTTCTTTAGAATTTATAAAGCTGTAATTAAGCTATAACTATGAATAATATTTTCTAATAAAATTTTTTTTATATACAAAAGAAAAATTATTATTCTTAAAAAACTTAACTTCTTAAAAAATTTATTTATAAAAATGAGCTATCAGAATTAAAGAAATTTCATATTAAAAGCAATAATACAAACTTTGTAAATTTTATTTATTTATATTATTAAAAACGTATATTTTTTAATATTCATATAGCTTTCTTATAATGTTATTTTTTTTAAATATTCTAAAAGTAACTTATGCTTTTAATTTTTGATAATATAAAAACTAATCATAAAAAGTTTAAATAAAATGATAAATATACAGAAATTATTTATAAATTTATTTCGTTTTATAAGATATATGTAAAGTATTATTTACAAATTAAGGTAAATCTTTGATACTTTTAATTTTTTATAATTATTAAATTACTTAAATTTGATTAATAATTCAAATTAAAAAAAAATTTTAATAGACAATAATGAAAACAAATATTTTTAGGCACATTTAAATTAAAAAAGAAGGATCTTCAAATTGATAGTTATGATCCAAGAATAATACGTGACAAGCTGTATTACATGGACCCAAAAGCGGGATATCAATTAATAACACCAGATGTATATGATCAAATACAAACGGGTAGAATTCGTTTTTGAAGGAGCAATATATGCACATGCGAGGACTCTACTTTACATGTCATCACTCAATAAGGAACATATGAAAAAAACATAAATGAAAATAAAAGATGAAAAATTCACCAAACAAAAATATATGAATAAAAAAATGAACATGCACAAAATATTGCTACCCTTAATAATTACTTAATGCGCTACATTCATGCATTTTTATTATTTATATTGTTCATTGTAAATAATATACTAACAAAAATAAACAAAAACCAATACTAAATAAACAAAATGTGCATACACATGCAAATATAACAAAATAAAAATAATAGATCATTGACAAAACAAAAGCGCCGAAGCAATATTGCCAATCATCACTTAATATTTTAATGTATGAATAGTTGGTGAACTATGCATTTATTAACGTTCAATATAATAATGTATATTTTCTTATATAATAAAATTAATGAATTTTGCTTATGAATTATTTTTATCAAACAGTAATATGCCTTATATTCAACATGAAATAATTAATAATAATAATAATGAATAATTTCAAAATATATGGAATTTACATAATTTAAAGTGGATTTTATCTACATTACTTGATTAGTTTTGGCCATCAATCCTTACTTTGAAAGGTAACAATTTACTAATCTATACAAACTTCAAATTCAAATTTAGTTTTAAACATGTATAATTATTACAAATAAACGAAAATTTATTACCAAGTTTTCTTCTTTTTATTATGCATAAATGTGTATACACTTATACTTTAATCAATATACGATATTTTTATTAATAATATTTTATTTATTATGATTTATGATATTGGAATTTTACCTTTAAATAGAATTTTTAAAATTCCATTATGTTCTTACAATGCTTGTTTTCTTAATTAAAACAAATAACTACTCTACATCACTTATAAAATAAAATTATTGTGTTAAAAAGTATTTAAGATGAATATCACATATATTTTTTGGAAATTAACATAGAAAAGTGAAGCATAAGTGTATGAAATTAAACTAGAATAAAAATAGAATTGCACTAATTTTCTTTTATAAAAAGTGAATGAAAAAAACCAACAAAATTAGTTTTAATAAAAATAAATACAACAAATTTATTAATACTGATATAACAGTTTTACGATGGTATTAGAATAATTTAAGTTATACTGCTCATTATTTATGTATATTTACCTTAATTTTATATTAAATTTTTAAATTATACATCAAATATTATTTTATTATAGCAGTTAACTGCTATATATATAAATGATTTCAATTTTTTTAATGTACTTAGACATATTCATGTACATTTTAATAATTCTATCAAATTTGCAACTACAAACGTAACAGCAAAAATAATATTTTATGAAAAGCTGAAGATTTATGGCAGTTTAATTTTATAATAGTTTAAAGTATATTGATATTATTGTACTAAAATAAAACGAAGAAATAACTAATTGAGTTTTATATAATTCAATATATAATTTAATAAAAATAATATTCATACCTTTATTACAAATTTATATACAAAACAAGTTAATCCATAAAATCAATCTCAAGTACGGAAATATATCAAAATTTTAATTATATTATTACTACAAATTTCTATTTTAAACATGAAATAATTTCTGTCAATATTTAGATGTATATCAAATTTGGAAAAAAAATTTTTATTTTGAAGCTTAAATTATTAAACATTATATACTAAATATAGTTTTAAATTTCTTGGAATTAAAAAAGAAATTTATTAATGACTAAATTTTAAATAAAATTCAATTTAATAATTTTCCAAAAAACATTCTTGACAAGTGATTAATTATAGTGATTAATAATCATTTTATTGAATTGGTAAATTTTGAAATTTTTATACCATATATATCTGGATTTATAAATCGCATCAGCGATTTTTTTATAAATTATGAAAAACTATTTTTAGAATTCATTTTGAATAAATATGAAAATGATTATCGAAATTGAAAAATTAAAATGTTGTCAATTCTAATCTTATAATAAATGCTATATATATACAATAAATAAAAATAAATATAATAAATGCTTACATTTTGTATTAAAGAGCTCCATATTTTTAATATATCCAATATTTTTAAACATATTTTCAATAAAGTATTTATTCTCTGTCAAAAACACTGATCGTAGTGATATCCAAGATGAATGTTTAATAATCAATTATGGTATCAGGTACCAATTATATAATTTTGCTTTTAAATAAATTGGCATATTTCATAAAAAACTATATGTAATAAAGAAAACTTTTTATAAATTCAAATTGAAATCGAAAACACAAACAAATACTTGTAAAATTTTACATGACTATTCAAAAACAATTATTAATACGTATTAATTATTATTAATTGTATTTAGTAATTAAGTTTGCATTATTTTATTATATTTAAGTTTTTGTATTTGGCTTAAAAAATAATGTTTTTATTCTCATATCATTTTTTTATACATTTGTTTTGTATTAATTGTAAAACACATATTTTTTATTAAACTATGCAACAAACTGTTTATAATATTAAAATATATTATTTCAAATTAAAATCCTATAGGCGTTGCAGATAATTAGCTATTTTCAATTTCCTGACTATAGATGGAGCAAACAATACTACAGCAATGGGCGCGAAACTAACCTAGCTTGGAAATACTAAAGGAGAAACAAGAGAGTTGAAGTAAAGTAAGTTAGATACGATAATTATTGCATAAAGTAGTCGCATTCGCAGTGCGCTTGGCTAATATAGGATTTCTATTTTAATGTCTGTCGAATACTCGAACCTCGAATTCTAACACTAACAGTCATAAGTGACCGAGTGAGTTTCTTCTCTGGATAATTTCAGTAATCAATTACAGTTTGCCTAAGTCTGCCAGTGAACTGTTAATTCTCATTTACGTTAGAACAAGGTTTGACGTGCGTGCATTTGTTCAAGCATTTTGTTCTTGATTTTTTGATTATTTCATTTCATATTGATTTGCTGCCAATCACCTATCATATCATGTTTAAGATTGACGGACAACAGTAAACTACAAACTTAGGAAATTATTAAAAGAGTAAGATCTTTTGTCTTATATTTTTATCTTTGTTTATCGCGCCGTACATTTTACATTGGCGTACTATTTCGCCTATGCACATAGGACATGCTTGTATTGTAGATAAATGAGGACTTACATAAGAGATGACCTTTGTTCTAAGTTCGATTCGATTGATTAATACTACATATGCATGTGGCGATAGATTAATTTTTATTTTTTAAGCGTATCTATATTTTCAAGCCAATATTTTATGTAATATCAAAAGCGATCCTTTAATGCGCGTTACTATGTAAAACGCGTGCATAAATAGATTTAATATTTGTGTTTTAACTTATTTCCTACATTTACTACTTTTATTTATTTAAGAATTTTGCACTTATTAATGCAATGGAAAATTACATTTTTTAAATAACATAAAAATTACAGCTTTAAAAAAATACAGATTCATTTTCCATGATGAATACTATATTTCAACATAACCATCGTAATACAGTTTTTAAATGTATTACTTTTAAGTATGGAAATATAAATTCATTTGTAAATAAATTTTATAACTTATTGTACAAGAAATATTTTTATAAATCCAAGAGTTATAAAAAATGATATACTTGTAAGTGTAGAAATAAGTATATATTTCATTGACAATTTAGATAAAATATAAATATTTATTTAATTTGTTAATACATGCAAATTATTATTTTTTAATGAATCTATAATTAAAATTATAATACAGATTATAAAATATCAATATGAATAATTTAAAAAATGATATGCCATTAAATTTTATTATTTACTGGCAAGCTAACCAAAAAGCATGATTTTATTAGCTATTCGATCTAACTTCAAATTTACAATCATTCTTTCATATAAAACAAATTATTGTTAATATTTAGATATAAGAATAAATAATAAATGGTATAAAATAAGTAGCATGTATATGCATGAAAATAGCCTTTTATTCAGTGTGTTTATATGATCTTACAATTAATTGTATATTTTATTGTACCAGTTTATATAGTAAATAAAATAAAAATTATTTTTATTCATTTAAAATTTATAAACAAATGATGTGGAATGTATAAGTAATAAATTTTTAAAATTTTATTCAATTGTTTATTTTATGCCAAGTAAGAAACTATTTATATTTTCAATGAATATCCTATAATAAAAATTACTAAAAATTAGGTAAATAATTTAATCTATGTTAAATTGTATATATTATAATATTTTTAATTTTAACTTAAAAATATTCAAAATTTGAATTTAAATTAATTGTTTTGTTTATGATATTAAAATGGATTATATTGTTCTCAAAGGTTCTTTATATATAATTTAAACAAATTATTAGGCTGCATACATTTTTCTAAATAATTCCAAACTTATTAATGATTAATAATATTTAATCACATAATATATATGATTTTATTAAATACAAAATATTTACCAGTATGAAATAATTCGTAGTAACTTATATAACTATTGAGAGTCTTAAAAGTTTATTAGGCAAATATTTTAAAATCACATTATTATCTTAATTTGATATTTAATCACAATAATATATCATTCATTTTTGTCAAATTATAAATACATATACAAAAATATTATATATATTTACTTATGCTAAAATTTTATCTCTAATTTAGGATCCTCTAAAGATAAATAGTATAAACAAAATAATGTATACAATACAAAAACTGGCACATTTGAATATATGAAACTATATTATCAAGTTGTTCATTCATTTTTGACAAATTATTTTTAAATCCTCGATTTTGTGAAAATGGTAAAAATAAAATTATGGTTTTATATATCAAATTCTCAAAAATATAACTTCATTTATAATTTATTAATTATAATTATTATTCTATAGATAATTAAAAAAATTATTTTAATCTAAATAAAAATATCTTAATAAAATTGTCTACTTTTCTTTCAAATATTAAAACAATATCAAATTGTTTTCTATTCATTAATATATTTTTATACTATCAATCAATCGAAATATGTTATATACATAATCTACTAATTTAACAATGAATAATTTGAAATTAAATTTGATATTAAAATTTAATTTTCTAGAATATATAGTGCAGTTGAATGTATTTATTTAAAACAATATCAATTTATATTAGACTTCCTTGAATGACTTGTATAAAAAAAGTTTTGCCAAGATTTATAGAAATCAATATAAATCTGAACAGTTTTAGAAGTATTGAAATTTGGTAAATAACATTAATAATAATACATATGTTATGTTATGTATATTTTTATGTAAGAATTTAGACTAAATTTTTTGTTAAATATTGAATTAATATTACTTTATTATGTACTCATATATATGTGTGGGGGGAGGGGGTTTAAAATAATAATCTATTTTCCATCATCATGAACAAAACTAATTTGAATATTAGATTAAAAAATTTATGAGAATATTATTAGAAGCTTTTAATTAATATAATTGAAAATTAGTTTCAATTCAAAAATGAAATTTTTTCTTTTAGTTCTTTACAATTAAATTTGTAATTAGTGTATTATTAACTAATTAATATTAAAATCTAATTTTGAACTGTAATTTTTAAAAATTAGTTATTAATTTTGATTTTGCTATGTAATAAAATTAAAGTATTAAATGTTCAAATATGAATAAAAAGTTATTTAAATAAAAAATATCTAAATTAAATTAATTTGTAAAATGGATTTTTCAATTTATTAATTCTTTAATTACAAATTAATTCATTTTAAAATTCATAAATGTTGAATTGCAGACTAAATAAAAAATATGAATATTATTTTATTTATTATGTAAGTAAAATTTATTATTTCATAATTCATTTATGTTTATTATACAATTAATTCGTTTTTATACTCTTTAACGTTACAAATTATTGCGATCGATAAATAAATTTTAAGGTTATTTTTCTCGAAAATTTATCGATTTAAATATATTGTATCTATTTTTGTACTTAAAAATATTTGTAAAATAGTTACGTTTCTTAATTTTAAGGTATAAATATATACGATTGTTATTATTGAACTCGACAATTTTTATCTATTTATAAATTCATCCTATGTAGAGCTTTTAATTCGTATTGTATTCATATCAATGCAGAACTATGATTATTTGAATCTTATTTAAATAAATAAATGTTTGCATTACGTGAATGTTAATTATAGATCTATTACAATGAAGGAATGTAACATTGATATAAATTATAATTTTTTACAATATTAAAATATACTTATTTAAACTATAACTATTACTTATCATTTTTAATTATTTTTATCTGGTTCAATGAAGTAAATAATAATAAATAAATTCAGATTTGTTAATGATTAATTAAGAAATAATTGGTAAATAATGAAATATTAATAGTTTTCAACAAAATATTCAAGAAATATTTAATCCAATATATAAAATACAAAATTGAAAAAATTACCAATAAAAATATTGTTAAATAGTATAATTTACAAACAAATTTAATCGTTTTTACAGCATTTGGAATTCAAATATATGATATTATAATTTTTTACTATAGAATTTTATTACAGATGAGTTACAATAATATTAAATTAAAGTTATATAAGAATATTAAAAAGTAGACTATATGTACAATTATATATATATATATATATATATATATATAATTGAAATAAATACATTAAATCCCGCGAATACGCCCTATGCATAGCCAATAACAAACATGATAAAGAATATAATAACTAATGAAGATGAAATGTATATGTGTGATTGCTTATCAGAAAATATTTATATCAGTAAAAATATGAAACATCATGTTTGATTCGATAAAATCGAAATGATGGTACATCAAGAAAAATAATATTCGTGCTAAATGTATTGTATGGAAATCTTTTATTTAAATTTTTTTGAATAAATATAAAGAATTTCAAAGCATGTAAAGTGTGCTTTTTAACGTACATATAAGTAGACTCAGAAACAACTGATATTCAATTGATAAAATTAAGCGTAATGACATTAATGGGGATCAATATATTTTGCTAATGTATATTTTGGTAATTTTATAACTGCAATGTGAAGTTTACGGCCGAGAGCTTATAACAATGAAAAAGTAATTACAATCAATATAACTACACAAAGCTTTTTATACAAATAGATATATTAAAAACTTATCTATATAAAAGATCCTAATATTGTGATCTCTAAAGATCACAAGACAATAAATTAATCGAAGAATGCTTTTAATTCTACAAAGTACAGGCTGATCACATCACAGCGCGGAAAAGAGGGGGTTGAAAATCATACGAACGGCGAGCCTAGCGCCAAATGATTTGCACTGTGCGCAGTGCGCATTGCGCACACATAGTGTCTACGACTTTCAAGTTCCAACTTCCAAATCCCACTCCCAAGTCTGTGTCATTAGATCATTTGTGGCTTGAAGTACTGGTGATGGAGGGTTCTACTTGATCGTGCATTTGAGTAACAGTTATATTCGCTAAAAAATAGAAGTATATTTAGCCTAAACTGCCGCTGCGCGTGATTAACGATCGGTCTTATGCGCAAGTACTTAACATTGAGCGCCACGTTTTCGAAAATTCTACACCCGCTAAGCGATAATAGTAAGTGAGAAATTTCATAAATGCAACTTTAGACTTAGTAACTAAACATAATATCACTAGATGCATTATTTTATATGTAGATAACGAGTCAGTCAAGTTTTACAATTGAGGTTGCATTAATAGATTATCTGTCAAAAATCAGTCAAAAATGTGAATCTTTTTTACATTACTTCATTCTCAAGCAATAGCTGTACCTTGTAACCCTCCGTTATTTGGCATAATACAATCGATATTGTAGTAGAGTACAACAATTGCCGCGTACATAATTAATATGAAAACTTCGATTTATTTAATTATGGTGAAAAATAAAAAAATACTATAAATGTATTTTATTTTTAAATATTTTTGGAAAGTAAAACTTCAAAAAATTAAATAAAAAATATACTTTTTGTTTAATTGAACACTTTTCTTGGGTTTTTATAGATATGCGCACATCGATGTAAATGTGCAACAAATTATGGTAAATTACTATCTTGAATTCTAAAATTTAATAATATTTAAAAATGATGTTAATATTATTTTAATTTAATTATTTTAATCAATCAGAATTATAAGTATCTGCTTCTATATTATTGTTATATCGATAAAAACTAATGTAAAATCATCAAAACAAGTTATACCATTTGTTGGTTTAGTATATTACATTTAAATAATTCTGAATATAAATTCATAAACACACTTTCAATTGAATAACTATATAATTTCATTTCTAAACATTATAATTTATATTGATAGTTACGCATATAATATTAAATTATTATATCTTGAATTAATTGTAAAATAGAAGCTCACTTTTTAAGTATTATAAAGTTTAAGCAATATAAAAGAAATCTAATGTGTGTGTATGTGTGTATGTATTATTTAGAAATGGGTGTTATTGCTTTCAATTTTTTAATAAATATTGTTACTTTGTCATAACATATTATTAAGGCTTAAATTTTCGCGACACGCATTCGTTTAAAATGCACCAGAGTTATAAATTCAGATCCGGAACTCTTGTGAAGGGGAAAAATCCCGAGTGTAATATTAAAGATTTCTAAAGCGACTAAGTATGATTGTATTATACAGGGAAAATTATAATATGAGTTTTTAATAAAATAAAAAAAAAATACATATCAACGTCAAATTGCTAATTCAATAATAAATAAATGTACGTAAAAATAATTAATTGCGAAATTCTTTATTAAAATTAAAATTATTCCTAATAAAATAAAAAAGGTAAAATAGAAAATAGAAACCAATCATTTTATCATAAAATTCAATTTCATGATAATAGACACCTATGAAAGCTGACGCATTAATTCTACATAATCCATTTGCAAAAGAGTTTATAAATTATATTTAAAAGAATGGTTTTTTATTAAAATCAAAACAAGAAAAGTTATTTATTTACAGAACATATAATAAGGGAAATTTATTGTTATTATCCCTTCGTAATGATAAGGTAAGTTGAAGTAATGATGAGATGTTATAAATACCTAAAACTCTTACAGATAATATGTAAGAGTATATGTAATTGGATTAAATAAAAATCTCAATGATATACGAATACATTTTTTATTAGGAAGACTTAAAATCAAATTTTTATTTTTAATTTAAATACACGCGTATACATACATGTATATATAAATATATGTGTGTGAATTTATTAATTTCATAATTATTATTATTCTTTATATAAATATTTAAAATTTTCGAATGTCTAAATCCATAAATCTTTAATAAGATTATTGTAAAAAAATATATGAAGTAGTTTTATTTATTATAATAATAATAAATTAAAGATTATTTTTTCAGAATATATGAACATAAAATTAAAAAAAATTTTAAATTATAAATACTTGTCTAAAAATTTGAGCAATATAAGGAATAGAAGTAGAAAATAAATTAAAATTTTATTTTTAAAATGTAACTTGTAAAAGAAAAAATGATTGGTCTGTATATGCATACAGTACATGTATTTTGATGAAATTTTCAACTTTTCTCTTATTTTTTATATTTTTTATAATATTTACTAAAATATACTTCCTTGATATATGAACAGCATACAACATATTGATTTTGAGCTTTCTTTAATGAAATATATATTAAACCAATTTGTTTAAAATATATATCGCTACCATTCCATAAATTGTATTATTGTATAATACATATTTTCATATGAAAATAAATAATTATTAAGTGCAAAAATGATAATTTAGAATTATTTTGATTTAAACGTTTATAATTATCTTCGTAAAACAGAAATTCTTATATTAAAATGAATACTGATAAATAATGGTAAAAGCAGATCTTAATTTGTATTTAGTTGATTTTGAAAGAGGATAAATGCATAATTTTATAGTAATACATATAGTGAAATGTCGAATAAAAAAAATATTTTTATAAAGAATATAGTTTGTTTGTAAATAATATACCTTTTATATATCTTGATATTTAGATATTTTACATATAATACAATTTATTAAGAGCTCTGATATTTATAAATAAATAAATATATATATATATATATATATATATATATATAGCAGTTTGGTTTTAAAAAAATGTAATAACTATTATAATTGTTTTAATACTACTTCACCAATTAACCCAATATTCTGATAATTTTTTATAGTATTAGAAATATAATTTGAATATATAGATATTATTTATTGAAAATTACGATTAAAAAAAAATTTATTAATTATAATGATAGAAATGTAAAAAATATATTTGTTTAAATTGAATTCCATAATATCTATATTTTTGCCTATCGTTTATTGTAAGTTTGGCATGTGCTAATATACCCAAGTCGTACTTACAGCGGAATAATGAATAAGGCAAAATTATAAATACTTAAATTATTTTTACATTTAATACTAGTATACATACACATGTTACTGATAATATTTGTATGGCTTTAAAAAGCACTTGAGAAATTCCAAACTCTAAGGAAAAATTCTATATAATGCATTAAGCATAAGATCAAAGTGCCAATGTAAAAAAGCATACTACTTTGACATGTTTATGAATACATATAATGTGTAATTTCATATTGATTCGGGCTGTGATTTTATCATGTTGATGAAATCCTATACGTTGAAGGTTCACGTACAAGTTTTGAAATAAGTATTATACTATCCAGTAGAAAATGTAAAATACGACTACTTTGATTATACTGAAATAGTTGTTGAGACATCGTTTTTCATGTTCGATAAATTCCAATTAATTATTAAGACGACAGTTTTTTAATTTATGGCGTAATGCTAATACTAATAAACGAATGTTTATTTTTATTAAAGAAGAGTCAGCTACGAGTGTTTGATACCTTACTTTCCAAGTTTTCTAGAAATCGTACCTTAAGAATATTGTCTTCGCGCGTAAAATTGTTCTATACATAGTTCAAATAAGCTATCTCTTTAAATGAAATAGCTCAAATAAAGATAAAAATAGGTAATAATTTATCTGAATTGGGGCATATTTTTAAAAAATTATAAATTCAACAAAAAAGCTATTAAAGGAACAAATAATAATCAATACATTTATGAAGAAAGGCAAGGAATACGCAATCAATATTTCAAATCGTTTTCGAAATTGCACACGAACGAGTTACTAATATGCTGAAATGAAAATTAAATTAACTGGTTTTACTACGGGATATTGTAACAACAAATGTAAAGGTAGGTAAAAATAAAAATAATGTGCATAACACTGATTAAATGAATTAATAAAAATAATATCCAAAGCTTTGATTGCTTATACCAATACATTATTGATAGATCATACCAAAAACATGTGTTGAACATTAGTATTGCATATATAAAATGACAAAAAAAATATTTTTTAGGTATTAAAGAGGAAATAATTAAATATGAGAAGTGTAGATATTTAAATTTTTTAAATAAAATAATTACAATCAATAATAATAAAAAACGTATTTTTTACATTAAATTATTGAAAAAAAATTTTCTTAAATTGGCGAAATATTGATGCATTTAATAGAAACTTATCTGAGTTTCATAGTAATTTTTAAATCTATATGGCAAGTTGAATTAATATTTACTTTTAATAAAAATACTGTTTTCATTTCTAATCTTCCCTTTCTAAAATTTAGAATTATAATTCTAAAATTAAATCTTAAATTAATTTTAAAATTTTATTAGTTGCTTTTTTAAATGTATACATAACTTTATAATTTTTTGTCCGATTTCTTGTAGTTTTAACATAGCCAAAATAGAGAAATGAAGAGGAAGCAAGTATGGGAAACTAAAAATATTTAAAATGTATCCAATTTATTACAAGTAAGGCGTAGTTTTGAGTTGCATATTAGTGTAAGGAAAAGTAATGTTAAAATATTTTGATGCAAGAAGATAAAAATGATTAACTCCAAAAAGTTACTCATTTCAAACATTAGCCGTCATTTTTACATTATATATATATAAACCCTTTAAGAATGAATCTTGCTAACACTAAAAGCCACGATTTGACTATTAATATCCCTATATCGGAATTTATTAAATGAATTATTTAGTATTATGTTTCAAACTCAAGTACAAGAAAATGTTCAAAATAAATAATTAATCATGATGATAAATATAAGGAAAAATGGAAAACATAAGTATATACAGTAATAGAACCGAGTATACTAAAAAATTAATATTAAAAAATAATTTTCATTTTCCATGCTATATCATGCATATCTTAAATTTGTTATAAAGGTCCTGTAGAAATAAACTGGAATTATATTAAAAAATCTATACGTAATGAGTTTCACAAGTTCTGAATATACGATTTAGCAATACTTAATACAAAAACATATGTGAAGAAATTTTTCCAGGAGTTATTAACTTTTTTTTTAATTTTATAACAAATAAATTATAGTAGTGGTGATTCTTCTATTAAAGATTTTGAATGTACTCAATACTAATGAGTTGTAATTATAAAATTACTATTTTCAACTCTCTTTCAGGGAGTATGTATGACAAAAATGAGATGGTAAATATTAAAAATAAAATGTACAGAATTAGTAAAAAAATCATTACTACAGACTAAACCTGATTAAGAGCAGGGATGAAATATGTAAATGTGCACTCAAGAAATTAAATAAAAATAAAGTTATAAACTATGTCAAGTATCTCACGGAGTATAAAAACTAAGAGATGAGTTACTACAATCTTTAGCAAGAATAAAAATAATTGTTTAATTTTTTGGATCGTTTGAAATAAAATAGATTCATAATTGAAACTAGTATTTCATAAACGTCATAATCAAATGTGCAAAGGCCGTATAAAAGGAAAGAAAATTAGAGCTAAGATAAAACATTTATTATTATTTTTGGAACATGATTATCAACACTTATATATTTTTCATTGAATACAACTGATAAATAAACAATATGTTTGGCCGTGTGCTCTGCAATAATACACGATTATCAAAGAATATTGACATTTAATGAAATGATGCTTAATTTTGCGAAGCACAAATTTGTCAAAGTAAATTATATTCATCTATCAACAGAAATAGAGATTCTATTATACATTGATTATTAAAATAAAAATTATGATATTCTTTAAATAAGATTGCTTATCTCATTCATACATATGCCTACATTAATTTATTTTTAAAATGATATATATTTAAGTTTAGTATTCTTTATTTTATATACTTTCGTTTTTAGTTACTGGAAATGTATAGCGTGTGTCATGTATTATCTATACAAACATTTGTACAAAAATAGAAATTTGTAAAAATTGAAATATTGTAATCATATCTATATTCTTTATATTTTACAAATATAGAATTTTTTATTTGATTCATTATTATTAGGTTAATTAGTGTATGACATCATAGGAAAATTCGAACTTGCAATGCTTAATCTAAAAATATGAGTTATTAATATTATACAAAGCTTATTTTCTTTTTATTTGTAATTATACAAGTAAAAACCATATAATTTAATATGGCGATTATATTTAATTTTTCATTATTTTATAAATTTTAACGTAATTTAGAACAATAAAAAACAAATATATAGATTTTATATATCTTATATTTTACAGATATAAATTTGACATTTGTTATCAATATAAAGCAATTTATTTGTAATTATACTTTAAGTCTTTTGTGTACTAAAAATAAAGATAGAAACTATTTTAAATTAACATAGACAAAAAGCCATCGTTTCTAAAATTTTATGAAAACTTATTTTCGTACTGGAAAATATTTAAAATATTTTATTGCAATATTTATATGTAAAATTTCAAATTTTACAATATTTTGATGTCATGTATTATTATTTTATTTTTAATGAAAAATGTCAAGATAAGTATGAAGTATTAGTTCAGAATTTTCTTTCTAAACAACAAATTTTATTTTAATAAACAAAATTATTAATAATATTAATTACTCATTTACAAATTTTTTATATTAAGAAATGTTAAAATTTTCATTAATATATAAAAAGTGCATAATTTTTAATAATTTAGATTTCAAGTAAAACGATAAATTATAACACTGTATTTGAAGTGAAAATTATCATTATTTTCCCTGTTTTTTAATAAGTAAATATTAATTTAATATGGTAAAAAATGTTTAAGTATCGTAAAGAAGAAAATGTAAAATTAAATGGAAAAGAATGAATAATCTCATAATAATTTGCAATTGAAATATTTTAAAATACTATTCTACATATTACTTACATTGCCTATATTTTATTCTGCTTAATGACTTTTCATATTCACTATTTCTATTATACATAGAAATGTATATATTTATTGAAGTAGCAAATAGAAATAATTACGCATATTTAATTTTATTATTTAATAAATAATTTATTTTTAATGATATATGTTGTCATATTTCAATTTAAAATGTTTATTGTAATAAAAATATATGATTCATTGCTTACATTTTACAAATATTTACAGTAATTCAATTATAAGCAATTTTATTTCAATTAGATATAGGATGAACATTGAACATTGAATTAGCATTTTTCTTATACGTTCAGAGAAATAAATTGTGACTGTAACAAAGTAATATTTTTATTCATATAGTGTCAATTACATAAGGTCAAAATAAATTTTAACTACGAAATGTACAAGAAAATTATAAGTGATAAACATATTGAAGGATCCAAGAACTCAGTTTTTTAAATGATTGTTACCAGAATTCTAAATTTGCTATAATTCCAGAAAACCAAAAATAAAAGCTAAATACATTATGCATGTATAAAAGGGAAGAAAAGTTATTATAAATTCAGGTTCATTCAAAATTATTTGATTTTTATTATCTCTAATGGTAGACTAAGATTATATTTTAGTATATTTAAAAGTTTATAATCGTTTAAGTATCTAAAATTAGATTTGTGCGTATAAAGCTATAAAAGACTATTATTAAAAAAAATAATTTAGCCGTATATGTATATAAAGTTTTGATGGAAATATAAGACATGAAACAATAAAAAAATATAAATATTTTACAAATAGGAAAAATACCAATCTTTGATACTAAGCTTCGTTAGGTTAATAGAAAGAGAAATTAATGTAGCTTTAACTACTTATGATATGTGAAAACTGCAGTATTCGAGCAGCTGTCCATCAGTGTACTGAGAAGATAAAGTAAGCACATACGTTTGCGCAAGTCTCTTCTAATCTAGTGGGTGCGCGACTTGTCGCGCATGCCTTCCCCTTGTTGCAGAACAGCCAGCGGAACGCGGAGCCGCTTCACGGCATGGAAGTCAGATTCGCGCTCCTCGTGCTGGCAATTCTTGGCAGTCTGATGGCTGCTGGCTTGAACTCGAGGTTCAGTTTTATCGTTCAACTTGGTTTTGCTGCGGCCATTTTACCACTAATCTGGACCTACCAACGTAGAATCTACATCATTCTAAGAACGTTACCCCGGGACGTCAAGTAAGTCTATATAATTATAGACATTGTTACTATAATAACCAATCCATTCTTAGTTGCTTGTCACAATAATGATTCCGATTAACGATTAACTCATAGTTCCTTTGCAATTTTAGCTGTATTGACAACACTGAATTTCATTTTCATTTCATCCATAAACGTTGCTCGAGATTTCTTTCTTGTAGATAAACACTTGTTAAACTTTACACATTTTACATGTCCACCAAATCTTCACAATATGTTTAACGTTACTTGATTTTACATTTACTTTTTTCGCTCATTGAATTATTTGTTCAAAATGTACTTTGGATTAATTAACTTTTGAGAATAAAGCATTGAGGTTAGTTCAATGCATACCTACGGGTAAAAAGTATTCAAACCATTTAAATAGATCAAAATGTTTAGCTTTAATAATCTCAACTAGTTATTATGGTTAATGACAGCAGTAGGTATTATCACTTTTATTTTGTTTAAATTTTCTTCAGATTCAATTAATGATATTTTAAAAATGATACATATATATACCTATATAATGATACAAATTTAATTATTTATAGTATAAATCAATAATTATAAAGTTATTATAAAATAACTATATGAAATCATTTGTTCTACATTTTTCACCATTCGATCTTAACTTATTCAATATGTAAATTATCTCATAATAAATACAATGCAATATGTTAATAAAATAGTAAAATGTAGTAATAAAAAATACAATATTTTTTATACATTTTCTAAATATTTTTTATTTTGTATTAATATTTTATATTTTATGTACATGAAAATATTAAAATTATAAATAATGCTAACAATTAACATTGTTTATTTCTTAATTTTAATATATATATTCTAAAATAGTATCAATTTAAGATTTAAAATTATTTGATCTTCATACATTTATTGTTTAAAGGCATAACTTATTTACAAATTTATAAGTATGAATAAGAATTTTATTATTAAATGGATATTTATGAATATAAAATTATTTATCATAAAATTGTACGAAAATTATTCTTTTAAAAATTTCGATAAATTTTGGATGATGCATATTATTTGATCTATCATAGTAAATGTTTCAGAAAATATTGATATTCACACATCAATAAACTATTTTTAAAGTCTGACAATTGTTTGACTGACTATATTTGTACTGTAAAAATATTACTAATAATTTAAATACTTAATATATATTATAAAAATATATTAAAAAAAAGATGTTTTAAGAATATATTTTTTTGTTTGATAACATTGTAATAACAGTAAATACTTTGCATTTTACATTTCTTAATTTTGCAAGTGTCCGTATTAATCACCGATGGCTAAAAATAATAAAAAAAATTATTAGGATAGAATTTTATATTAATTTAATAAATTTGAAATGAATTTAGTTTACTTAATACCATGAAAATTTGTAGTAATTAAGATCTTTTTATTGCTATATTAAATAATATATCTAGTAAACAAATAACAAATATAAATTTAAGTAATAACGTTAAAATTGTAAATATAAAGTTTTCATAATTCATTACTAACTTTAAAACATCAATTTTCTGGGAACATAGGAAATTGAGAATCTTGGAGACAATCATTAAAAAAACTGAGTATTTAGATCCTTATAATATGTTTATAACTTTTAGTTTTCTTGAATATTTCGCAGTTGAAATTTATTATGACTTTATGTAATTGATACCATGTGAATAAAGATATTATTTTGTTACAATCACGATTTATTTCTCTGAAGGTATAAAAGAAAATGCTAATTCAACGTTCTATGTTCAGCCTATATTTATTTGAAATAAAATTGCTTATAATTGAATTACTGTAAATATCAAATTGAATTTTAAATTAAAAATTTCAATTTTTCTATTAATTTGAATAAATACCGTTAAAATACTTACCTTTATTATTTGGTTAAAAAATAAGGCTGTGGATAAAACAACGATAGAAATATTTCTAAATCGTATGTATATAAATAGTATTGTAAATACTTCTGTGAACATAATTAATTTTAGTTGTTTTTAGAATAATATAATTAAATTAATTGAATCCATTTAAATAAAATAGAAGTTGATTTTGATGATATTATGTAATATTATGCATAAAATATTATGTAAAAGGTCGTTAACAATCCACACGATTAATGATTTCCGCTATTTTCAATGTTACTAATATTTCAGTAAAATAATAACAAACTCTTCATGAAACAAGCCTCAAAATTATAATATTTAATTTCCATTCGTTAAAATAACCTCTATATGAGAAAGATAATTTCAAATAAATAAAAAAATTTTCTATTTGAATCTATTTTTCCAAACAAAATTTTATTAATAATATTGACGATTATTAATAAATAAATATACGCTATTATTATTTAGAATTATTATATGTAGTATTATATGGACTTATTAAATGTATATAATATAAATTAATAAAATGAAATATATATATTCGTCTAACAATATACTTTAAAGTGTATTTGCATTTTATGTTAAGTAATCCTAAATAATAGTTTTCAAAATTATTTTTATAATATCACAGTCCTTTGTTTTTCAAAATAAATGAACTTTTTATTTCATTTCATGGTAATTGTAATTAAATATAAATTATAATATTTTCGATCGTGTTTTACGAATACATTACTTTTTAGAAACTACGATAGAATCACAAACATTTTTATTTATTTTTAAGTTATCAGTTATAATTGTCTACAGTTATAATTATTTATTATTTATATCATTGATGTTTTGCTTATTATTTGGAATAATACCTTTTTATAGTTTTTTTTAGAATTAATCATTTATTTTTTATTGACATGTCAGTATGTGATAGTATATATATTTATATACCCTTTATAAATTTAAATAAAATTAACAAAAAAACATACCTTTTTATATGAAATTTTTTTTAATTAGTTCAGATTCTAATAGTGCATACCGTTTTATAACTATAATTTTGATATTTTTTATGCTTTTTTCAGATTTTGAATATTAAATAAAAATTAGACATAGTATACAAATTTGTAATGACCAATAAATTATTTTTGAAGGGTTATAACATAATTTGATATTATACATTTGTAATTCTTAACTTGTGAATTTATCCAGGAAAGTAATAGAAACATTAACACAATATTGTTTAAATATTCCTAAGAATTATTTATTTCAATCAATTATAAATATTCCTGTAGTTAGTATTATAATAAAATTACTAATTATTTAATAATACATATCCTTTATCATATGATTAAAAAATACAATTTCTGACATAATATAAAAAGTAGGAATAAATAATGAAGAATAAATAATTACTGAATTTAGTGTTAGATGACTATTCAAATGAATGTGTTTCTTTAACTTTTATATTTTTAATAATAAAAAATATATCTTTAAACAATAAAATATTTAGTTATTATTTTTATATTAAATAAAAATCTTTAAATTGGTAACTTTTTAATAGTAAATTTCAATTAATTTTTTTCTTAACTTATAATTTTATTAATTAGATTATTCCAAAATTTCGATTAACAAAATCATGTAATATTAATAGTATATGTACGTGAATTAATATTATTAATTAGTAACAATTTAAATAAACAATATTTTATTCTATGAAATAAAATCATAAAATACAAGTTTTTTAGTAATAGTTTAAATATTTTTTTATTATTATTTTTAGTACAATTTTAATTATCTAATATTTCAATTACTTGTATGGTATATTTATTCAGAACCTAAATATTACTATATAAAACCAAATTTAATGCAATCAATAATAATTGATATCAGATATGGATATTTTGGATAGTTATGGATTGTATAAAAATAAATGTTCATTGTAAATTAAAATTATATTAAAAGATATTTAAGAAATCTTTTTCAACTATGCGACTGTAGAAAAGACTACTAAATTAAAAAATTATTCTAACCACTTTATTGATGATAAATATTCGGAATACCCTAAAATCGAAACAATCATCAATGTCATTGAAAAGTTCTAGTAATAAATGCTAAAATAAACTTGAACCGAATAATTCGTCTTTTTCAACTAGTTAGAAAAAACTATTCCTTTCATTTATAGCTTCATTTTTTTAAAACAATTTCTCATTACTTAATTTTTTTAAAGCTTTAATGGAATAATTTAAACGAAATAAGTTAAATATTTACTGATCCATAACTATTAATGAAACCACGATCGCTTACTATACTTTGCAAATGAAAAGTAATAACTCAAAGTAATAATCGTTCCTTACTAATTCATATCGGTTTCGTTGTCTGGATAGGTAATAATTTTTTGAGATGTTACTGTATTCTGTTAGTTAATTAGAATAGACTTTTAAATATGTCTTTATAATGTCTTTATAATTCTTAGTTTATTGACAAAAAATTATATCTATTAAAAATACTTATAGTGAATTAAAATTTGTGATGAAATGTTTAATAATTATGAAACATTAAATATCTAATTTAACGGATGAATATATTTAAAAAGGATTTTAAACATGATTTTAAAACTGAAAGTTTGTATATTTGTATCATGAAAAATCAACAAAACATAGAGATAGATAAAACATTAAAAATTACATTAGAGACAATTATTTGCAGAGTTATAAAGAATTAATAAATACAAAACATAATAAATTTGTTAATGAAAATTGTCTCACTAAGAAACTAGCTTAGCACTGTTAATGAATTACATATTTTTATAAAATATGAATTTTTTAAATGATCTATATGAAATTGCATAAGGATCATTTTGCTAAAATTCATATACATAAAACAGCGTAATCAAAACATAATATTAAAACATGAATTGAATTGAAGTTTAATTTAAGTTAAAAACATTGAATAGGTATATTATAGGATTTACACATAACACTAATACCAGCTTTATCGTTTGTTTGAAAGATACTATTTAAGTATCCTTCCGTTAAGCTAGGATTGTAGAATTATACTATAATTAGATCAATATTTTTTATTCGGAATAAAATGTAATATTATTTAATAAAGTTATTATACTGATAATTATTTTTTAAATTTAAGTTTTTTTTGTCCAAAGCACATTGAAAACTTAATGCCTTTCTGCTTAACTTGTTTTCCACAAATTAATTTTTTCCACAAACTAATTAATGTTTTAACAAATTGTATTCTAATTATATATTCTTTAAAATTTAATATTCAAAATCTCTTAACTGTGATAGTATATTATATGATTAATGTTGAAATAGTATACTACTATTTCAACACTAAAAAGACAACGGATTGTATGTGATTTAAGTTTAGATTACGATATTCTAAATTTTAAATATGTAAATATATATTCGTATTTTTACAATTAAAATAAAATTTTAAGGAACACAAAAGAAAATTGATAAGCATTATTATCATAATAATTTTTAATTATTGAGTTAATAATATAAATATAAATAAAAACTTATATTCCTGGAAAAATAGATGATATAATGAATATAATAGTTAAATATACATACTTTTAAAGTTTTTGATACTTTTAATAAATTGTTGCTTTTCTAAATTTTATGATAAATATTCTTCATTTTCATACATCCTATAGCGACAATATAAAATAATAATTTAAAATATTCTAAGCTATGATTGTCATAGTTACTTGTGACTGGAATATCTAGGATTAAGTAATACTTTAATTTTTCATTTACAGATTTCTTTATCGTTATATCAGGGCTGATCGAGAAACAAGACAATTTATGAAAAATGATTCCACGGTAATGAAACTTTTCAAAGAAAGAGCGCGATCCTACCCCAATAAACAATGTTTCATCTATGAAGATCGTGTTTGGACAAATGCCGATGTAAGTGATGTTGATAATCAGTAGTTTTTAAAAAACAAATTAACACACAAATCGATTTTGAAACATGAAAATATTTGTAAAAACCAAAAAAAATTTACTACATTTTTGGCTTCTAGATAGCATATAGACGCTATTAAGTAATAAATTTAATTAACTGCTTTTCTATTTTTTCACGACTTGTATTTTCATACTTGTTATGTATTTTCACTTGTATAATGTTAAAAAAATATGAAATAATAAAAAATTTAATGAATGCATAGTATTATGTACTCTTTAAAACATATTATTATCATTTATATTATCTACCTTTTATTGTTCTATTTTCTATATTATAACTGATTAATGTTAAAGATTTAACAAATTAAAATTGGTCAATATGATACCGAGCTCTTTTTTAGCACATGATGTAATGTAAATAAATGGATTAATACAGTGATTTAAAATAAAAACGATAGTAAGAATATAGTAAACGCCTTTATTTGTAAAAAAAGAAATTAATACTGTTTCTACTTTTTCTTTATAACATTATTTTAATATTTTGGTATAAAATTATTTTTTGACTTGCTTATCCTCGTGTTTAACATATTAAATATTTACTTAAGAATAAAATATATACACAATAAAGTCCAATAAAAAGTCTTCTAAAATAATGTAAATTACTTAAAAATTGGTATTCTATTTTTTACATAATCAATACTTAAGTTTTTTTCTATGTTATTTAAATATAAATGTTAATCAATTATAATTATTTAATTTCATCGATAAATTAAAAAATAATAAAGAAAATGGATTTGTTGATATTTCTAGATGTTTTATGATGCACAAAATCCAAATAAAAGTTTTTACTTAACGGTATAGTATACAGTCAAAATTATTTAAATTGAAAATCTAAAATCGTAATAAATACTATTTTCAATACTACATCAATACTTATTGAATGGTACACAATAAATTTAAGAATTTGTGTATTTTCTTTACGTTTAAAAATATTAACTATTGAAAGGAAAGATTATAAATTGAAAATAGTCATAGCCTAATCAGTATGTTAACAAAATTTCTCATTTATATCGGTTATTACCCACATTATAATTAATATATAACTAAATATAATTAATATATAACTAAATATTATTAATATTTATAAATATTAAATTAGATATTTACCAAGAAGTTGTCTTCCCTCATTATCCGTATTAACATACAATCAATAAATAATAATTTAGTAAATATGTACATAAATATGTAAATGTTTAATTCATTATTATTTATTGCAGATCGATAAATACAGTAACCGAATAGCATCAGTGTTTAAAAATGCAGGGTATGTTAAAGGCAATGCAGTGGCACTGTTCATGTCTAACAAGCCGGAATATATAGCAACTTGGTTAGGTCTTGGCAAACTGGGTATTGTAACAGCTCTCATCAATACGAATTTACGTATGCAATCGCTTGTTCATTGCTTAACTATAGCCAAAGTTAAAGCTGTTATATATGCTGATGAATTGGCATTTGGTAAGAGAAATATTGTAACTATAGATAAATAAGTATAATTAGAGGTAATTCAAAGTGGATATCTTATTTAGAATAGAATTTAATTAACCATACCTTCAGAATTAGTAACGTATCGATTGCCATGATAAATAATCGATTAATTTCATATTTTAATATATCTACGAAATTGTTTCAATATAAGCGATGTATGTGACTAATATATATAATAATATTAAGTAACTATTAAAAATCAAACTTAAAAATTGAATAACATAATAAAAATGCAATTAAAAATAACAAATAAAGTATTTAGACACTCTTGAAATTTTAAATAAACAACAAAATATAATGAACATATTTGTATAAGTACTGTTTTTGAATATTTTGATAAATTTAATTGAAATAAAGCTAACTAACTATAAAAACACGCATAAAATGTAATTAAATCTATTCGTAACAATATTTAATTAATAGTTCCATTATATACAAACCTATGATTTAAATACTTATCAATGTAATTAAATATACTTGAATCAAATAAAATGTGAGCTAACTAAATGTATTATCCGATTTAACTATTATTTAATAACACATTTCCATATTAAATAATTAAAAAAAATTGTTTAAAAAATTTTTTATTTATATTTATATTTTAAATTATCAAATATATTTTTATCATATTTAATGAATTATTCTATATATATATATATATATTTAATTCAATTACAATATAAATAAATAATTTATTAAATTAATAATAACTTTATTGTTGTTTAAGTAAAGTGATCTTATACTTACATAATTTATATAATTTTAACTTATACTAATATAACTTTTTATATCAAAAGTAATTTTTTTAGCTGTTTTATATTAATTATATTTCGTAAAATATTTTTTATATTTATTTTAAATTACATTACTTAAATTATAACTTCAAAAAACGTTTTTTTGATTGTTTTATTAAGTAGTTCACATTCTTGTGAGATTAACAAGAAATAATAAAGTAGATAGAAATTCGACCTAAGTTAGATTAAAGATAAATGATTTTCTTTTATTTGGCACACATATATCATGTTGATATTAAAAAGATGGTATGTAATGAATTCATGCTTCTCAAAAATTGAATTTATTTTTAATTAATTGATACTTCAGAGATATCGTAAAGTTATGATATATTTTATCCCTTGAACTATAACGAATTTGATAAAAAAATACGTCTATTTTAAATTAGTCTGGCAATTGGATTGTCATTGTTAGATTCGACAATAGTTGTTTGATTTATCTTTCAGAAATGATCGACTATTTGAGATGATGATATTATGTTCGTCTTGAATAGTTTTAAAGAAAATTAATATTAAGCTTAATTTTAACTATAATTTTAAGGTAATTTCATTTTACTTTCAGCTATTGATGATATCATCGATTCTCTACCAGGTATTGAAAGATATAAACAAGGATGTGATAATCCATGTACAGATGGTGCTTTTGACTTAAATAATATCATGGCCAAAGCTAGTGATCAACAACCGCTAGTTGATAAAGAACCAGGTTATAAAGACAATTTGTTGTATATTTATACAAGTGGAACCACTGGCTTGCCTAAGGCAGCATTATTTCCAAATTCAAGGTATATTGAATTACTATTAATTACATATTGTTAATATCAATATTAATGAAAATTCTTAATTTCCAAGAATACGTTAATAATTGAATTATATAAAGCTGAGTATTATAAATTTACTAAAACAGAAATCTTATAAATCTAAAAAAAATTGAAATATATTACAATTTAATGCATGTACAACGACGAGCAATATAAATGTAAACAAATTTAAAGATCAATTATTTAATATATGTATTAGTACAATGTAATTATAATTAAATAACTAATCAGACTTTTATTTAAAAAATATATTTTATTTAGAGTTAGATTAGTGATATTAAAGAAGTTATCTAAATATTACTTTGCACTTTGTTTCTACTGAATAGTTGCTTATTGAATGATTAATCTTGATATTAAATAAATAAGAGTATATGAAAAATAATAAATATCTTTAAAAAAATATCAGATGTCTGATATTTTTAGCATGTTCAATAAAAGATCTAGAAAACTATAATTTAGTTTACTATAATTTAATTGAAAAAATCAAACTAAATTGCATAAATTATTTTATAAATATTACAATTCAATTTTTTGTAGCTCTTAGCATAAAATTTCTAAAAATAAAAAATTAACAGTAATAATCTAAGAGTGTAAATATTTGATTGGAAAATTTTTTACAGAAGTATAGAACTATAGTAAAATGTTTACAATTTATTTCAAGTATTTGAATTCATATCTAGATTTCATTTAGAATTTTAAAATATTTAATTATAAACAGTCCAAGTTTTAATTTTAATTTTAGATAGTAATTTATAAATAAAGGAACTAAAATTAATTGTGTTAAAACTATTAAGTATTGTCTTAAAACTTATTAATATAAGTTGCTATCACTTAAATTCTAATAATTTCAACGTATGTAAACTTATTATTAGCAGCGTTGGATACCCATAATAATGAAGATCTAGAATCTTGTCAAGAGTTCACATTAGCAAAATAAGATTATACTAGAAAATATTACATACATTGGTATAACAATAATAATAATTATTATTATTTATATAATTATTTGAAGCTAATAGGGAATAAAAATTATTAATCTGTATAAAATATAAATTAAATTTAAATATATAAATCATTAGTTTAGAAAAATATTGTCTTAATAACATTGGTTAAAAATTAATATTCATAATCCAATTAAGTTCTGATTGTTTATTTTGTTCAGTTGTTAATAATAAGTTTTTGTATAATTTAATTAAATATTGCTCTTTCTTTAAAAAATGTTGTCAATATTTAATTACTGTAAATTTTTTAATACATAGATATTTATTGGTACAAACTGCGACGTATCATATGCTTGGATTAAAGCAAAATGCTGATATTATCTATAATCCTATTCCTCTTTATCATATGTCTGGAGGAATAGTTGGAACTGGCTGTGCATTAATTAAAGGAATACCTAGTGTTTTAAGAACAAAATTCTCTGTAACTGCTTATTGGACTGATTGTATCAAGTATAATTGCACGGTTTGTAAAGCCGTAAAAATGTTTTAATATGCATTTCGATTTACCTACTATAATTTATTTTTAGATATCACAGTATATTGGAGAAATGTGTCGATATTTATTATCCGCACCACCACGTCCAGAAGATAGAACTCACTCTGTAAGATTAATGGTTGGCAATGGTATGAGACCACAAATATGGCGCAACTTTGTCAATAGATTTAAAATAGAGCAAGTTAATGAAGTCTATGGTTCAAGTGAAGGAAATGCAAATATTAGTAAGTTATATTATTAACTTTAATTATAGTTCTTATATTATCAATAAACGATTAGCCATAAAATATTTAAATAATATAAATTTACTATTGAAAAACGTAATATTAAAAAATAAATCGAAAATATTGATAATATATAATTATAATGATAAAATATTGATTTAAATATAAATTTTTTATATATTCATTTTTTATCATAATATAATTATAAATATAATTAATGTATACATTCATTATCTGTTTCTTTATATATGAGTTTGTTGATTCATTAAATTATTTAGAACAATTTTTCAATAAAAGAACATATTCTTTATATTCTTTAAGATTGCGTTAATTTAAAACTGAATTAAAACAAAACATTGAAAGCCGTTATAAATAAAGAATACTAGGATAGAATCGAAATTTAATCAAATAAAATTATTTAAAAGTTAATAAGTCTAAGTTACTATTAAAATAAAATTATGAAACAAAAAAAATATTTATATATTGATCAATACAATTAATATAATTTATAATAAAATATATTTACACATATAAAAAATCGCATTATTTAAAATATAAATTATTTAAAATATAATGGTGAATATTATTAGAAAACTATTATTGATAAAACAATTAATTAAATTATAATATTTTATATTTGTATTAAAATAAAATTAAGTTTAGAATATTTGAAATTGTTATTATTTTCATTATTATTTGCAAAAATTAGTCAACGTAATTTCGAGTTATAAATTTAATGTTGATGTATATGTATATATGCATTGATAATTGAATTGAAAATTTTCTTCAATTATTTTAATACTAGTTTAATATTGAATATTCTATATTTATGAAGCATATATAAAATAAAAATTATAATTAAATGTATAAAAGAATAGCTTTGTTAACACCAAAAAATTATCATAAAAATTCTTTGGCTATTTTTGTAATTAGTATAAATCTATTTAGATATAATTGTCACATATTAATATATAAATTCTAATATTCTAGTTTCATAAATTTTATTTAAATAATTAAATCAGATATATTCAACTAGTATGAAATCATAAATATTAAATTTTAAATATTAAATTATTAGTATTTTGTTTAAAAAAGATATATTTTAGTAAATGTTGATAATACTGTCGGTGCTGTTGGTTTTGTACCTTCAATTTTACCAAAGGCACTTCATCCAGTTGCAATAATTCGTGTGAATCCAGAAACATGTGAACCCATTAGAGGTCCAGATGGTTATTGTTTACGAGCAGAACCAAGTACGTAAAGTGGCATTTAATAAATTTACGTTTAATAAATTTATTTGAAATTATTTTTCAATTTATTATTTTTTAATGGCAGATGAACCAGGTATGCTAATTGGTCTAATAAAACAAGGCAATGCTTCTAGAGAATTTAATGGCTACTTGGATAAAGAAGCATCAAAAAAGAAAACAATAGACAATGTGTTTCTTCAAGGAGATAAGGCTTTCTTAACTGGTAAGATGATTGATTTACTCATATAATATTTCTTTAAAAAATAAATTTAATTGATTACTAAGTTGTTTATAATATTTTGGTATTATTTATAACATAAAAATTGTTTTTAAGTGAGATTTATTTAAAAATTACAAACAATTCATTTTATAAGAACTTATTTAAACTCAAATTATAATATTTAATAGATTCATATATCAGGTCTTATATTATATTAAGTAAACTTGTATTGTAAACATATATAATTTTAAAAATAAGTGAATAGATGCTACTTTTTATTATACATTTCTTATAATAATAAATTCTTTAATACTATAATATTTCATTCTATAATAATATTCTATAATTTAATTTAATTTTATAATAATAATCTAAATTAGAATAATAAATTCTAATGTAGAATTAAGACATTAACTATTATATATAATTAGATTATGCATAATCATTGTATCAATTTGTTTTTTAAATATATTATTGAAATAAATTTTTATGATTAAATTCGTATTTACATTTAAATTATAGATTATAAATGATTTAAATTATAAATTCTAATACATTATAAAATACTGTCGTCAAAAAATTTTTAAAGTATGTATTATAATAATATTTAAAACTTTCAAGATATTATAATAGTATATAAATTACATAAATATATGTAAGCTTTGTAAATAATAAGTTAGAATATTTAAGTAATTGCAATAAATATTGAAATACTGTGTACTTTTTTATATTATTCCATACTTCTTAGATATATTACATGTAGTATCTGAATGTAATAATAATGTTCAAAACTGTATTATAATATACTTATACGACTGACTGAACCTGTTCGTATAAAGGCAAATGATTTGTATTACATGAATACTTCTATAAACATATTTTACTATATTATCTATAATCTAATAATTTCAGGAGCGAAAAATTATGTTTGCCGGTATCTTTTGAATGCAATGACTATATTAGATTTCCCACATAATTTATTTATTACAATTAATATAATTATTTATTACAAATAATATATAACTAATACACTAATGCCTATTTTAACCGTATAGCAACTAATCGATTTTGTATCTAACTTTTTTTGCAGGTACAATAATAATTTTTTATCGTTTTAGACCTATTTTTATGCTGTTAATAGTGATTAATTATTTTGTTGTTCTCGCAATTCAATACTAAACTGGGTGCAAATTGAACTATAGAAATTTTTAGGTTTATATTATGTTTTTTGACAATTAAGTTTCGTTCATAGTGCTTAATGATCTTACACAGTCATTATAAAATTATTACAATAATTTACATAAAATATTATATACAAAAGTTCTATTAGTATTTCAAGTTTTTTCCATGCTAATTAATATAGAATCGCTTTATATCATAGTGTTCAAGTAATTATATTTATTAATAACCAATAAGAAATTATTAATTATTAATCAAATTACTATATGCAATACAAATATGTATTAGTTTGTAAATTTTTTTTATTTACAAACGTATTTCTAATAAAAATAGAAGCATAATTTTAATATAATTATTTTTGTATAAGATTTAAAGGAGCAATGAATATAGCAATTAATATTGTTTAGCTTATATTATATTCTATTCTATGATTTTGTACTTATAGAATTTATAGAAATTTATAGAAAAAGAATCATAATAACTACTCATAGTAATTATAAAAATTGATTTTAGAAATACTTTATTATTATTGTAGATTATAAAATAATATAAAATCTGAAATTTTAATATATTATAATTAATTTTTAATATTTTATTTAACTTATATCATAATATTATATACTTCCTACAAATGTTAAAAATTAAAAAATATGAATAAAATATAAATAAAAAATATGAATTAAAATTTACTTATCGATTACCGTGCGATTACCGTGTTGTGCCTTACTCTATCGTATAGAGAAAAATTTTTTGTGTAAATATTTCTTTGTACATATTTTTATATTTTATATGTACAGCACCTCTATTCTACAGTGTCACATTCCTTGACTTAATCATTCTAATGACAACATTGATCTTTAGTATTCGTATTTTTATTGTGACAATGGTAATAACAAGTTTTATCGAATTTATTTTTGCAAAATCCGTTTTAAAAATAATACCCATAAATTAAAAATGTCTCCATTCTTCATTTATATTTTTATTACAGTAGATACATAAGAAAAATAATAACAAATATAATTTATTTAGATTTTTGGATTTAAATATTTATTTACATTTATATACAACGTATGATAAATCGTTACAAACATACTCAAAATTGAATTATAATTCTGAACATATCAAATTATTTTTATGGAGTAAAAATATTTAATATTTTATTCCTAATACTATGTTAAAATATAATATTAATATTAATTTTAATAGATTTAATTTCAATTTATAAATTTGAATAATTACAGGTGATATATTGGTACAAGACGAATATGGCTATTTCTATTTTAAAGATAGAACAGGTGACACTTTTAGATGGAAAGGCGAGAATGTGGCAACTGCTGAAGTTGAAGGTGTAGTTAGTAATGTAGCAGGGTATAGAGATACTACAGTTTACGGTGTTCAGGTAACTATTATATTCGTTTATCAAAACTTTAATTTCATTAGAACATAAGAAACCAACACAGTTGATTAATTATACTCACTTGTATCATACAAATGATATATTTTTACTTCATAATGTTTGTAATTATAAAAAATATTAATAAAGAAATAATTCACAAAAGTATCAATATAATATAAGTTGTAATATGAATATTTTTTATAGATATATATATTTGAGGCATTTAAATAAATTTGAACAAGAATATATAATTAGTGTAGGTATAGTTATATACAAGGATAAATAGTATTGTGTAATTACAAGTTTAAATTAAATTTTGATTAAAAAAATAGTTATTTTGATATTTTGAATGGATATGTATTGTTAATAATATTAAAATAATATTAGTTAATAATATTAATAACAATTTCATAAAATATGTTTTAAAAATTACTTTAGATCTGATTTAGATATATTATCATTCAGATATATTAAAATTCAAATCATCTGTACAAAGTTAAAAAAAACTTAATGAAATTTTTCGAACTGCAAAATGGATCCACTTATCTAAAGATTCAAATGAAATATTTTCATTATATTCTAAACAATAAGAAAAATTTATAAAAATATTTGTACATATCGTGATTACATGAATCATATGAATAGTGATAAAAAAGTCGACAATATTTTAAAGCTCTTGTTTTCATAAAAAAAAGAAACAGTATATTTATAATTGTCAGATTTTTAAATAAATTAAAAGTATTTTATATATTCATATAAACTTTATGGCCAGAAGGTTTTCCTTATACATATTCTATTGCAACCAAAGATTTCTCATAATAAAATATTCAAAATGACAGCCAAATGTAAGCTTCAATGCCTGCGTATTCATAATAAATAAAGGAAGTAGTTTACACTTGTTGTTTGCCACTAAAATATTATTAATTGACTAATTTCATTTTCAATCAAATAACATAAGTTAAGTATGCCACATTTATAATTAAAGTTATAATTAAATTAATAAAATACCATTGGTACATTATTTCTTAAAGTATTTGAAAAATTATAGCATTATTTTAGATCGAAAAAAATTTTTATACTTGATATGTTTAGAAATTTTTAATAATAAAAAGATATTAATGCATTTCATTTGTGATTAGTATTTTTTAAGTGAACAGTAAAATTTTTGTAAGTAAGAATTTTAATTAATTAAAATACATTGTAGATTGCTACTAAATTAAAATTTTAATCAAATGCATTAGTAAAAATTGATATATCTACTTTTATTGAATAGATTTACGTATTTTGAAAATATTCTTAACATCAATTATTAATGCTGTTTTTAAGGTACCTGGAATGGAGGGCAGAGCCGGAATGGCAGCAATTGTGGATCCGGATAGTCTTCTAGACTTTAAAGCTCTTGCTGAAGGTCTCGATAAATCATTGCCATCTTACGCCAGACCAATATTTTTACGTATTGTAAAAGAATTGGAGCTCACTGGGACATTTAAGCTCAAAAAAATAAATTTGCAAAATGAAGGCTTTGATCCTAATAAAATTCAGGATAAAGTCTATTTTAGATCTGGAAATAAAGAATACGTTGAAGTCACACCTGAGCTTTACGAAGAAATCATATCCGGTACAGCAAAACTGTAAATTAGATCATACAAAATCCAAAATTCACAAATAATAACACATAAAAATACACATAAACATACATAATAGGGCTTTCTTTGCTTATCGGTGAGATTATTGCCATCACCCGTACGTGTATGCGTGGACGGAAAGAAGCAATACTCACAGGACTTTAAATAAAATTAATTTCTTATACAAATAGATCAATGGCGTCCTGAATCTGCTGAGCAGCATAAGCTCTTGTGATGTGTTTTGTGTGATATTTTACGTAAAAGATAAAGAAAATAAAAAATATGAAGGCTAAAAAAGCAGGAATTAAAAAAATATATAAATAAGGTTTTCATTACGTATATTATTTTTTAGAAATCTTTCGACTCGAATAGGACAAATTATTTACAATTTTTCAATAGTCTATTGACGATAAAAATGAAATATTTCAAATTTTAAAAACGTCAATATCAAACTTTTCGTATACAAGCAGGAATCTTTTTTATAAAAGAGTATCCGATCGCGCATTCGTGTTTATTTGATTTCGTATTTTTAATTTTATAATGGCGTTTTTTCTGAAATAATGGAAAGTAATTTTAATTGTCGAGCGAAAGAATATTAAAAATAAACGGATTTGTTGTAGAAATTATATATTTTTTTTTTTATGGCATTTTATGTTATAAAATATTTGGTCAAGATATTAGAATTACTTTGTTTTGTTTAATCCAAATTGGAATTATACTAACTTCACATTAATTATACTACTATTTGTGATAAAATATACAAAATTCGTACATTTATAACACATATAAATATTTCCATATTTAAAAGAACTTTATTTAATGGTGCATTAGTTGGTAGTGTATATTTTATAAAATTCCATTTAAGGCATAGTTTTCTTTTAGTAATGGTATTGATAAGATAAAAATTATTTAAATTCTTGTTTTTTTGTTAACAGATAAAGATACAATTAATAAAAAAAAATCTTATCAATGACTTTTCATTTAATTGACACTGAAAAAAAAATTTATCAACTTCACAAAAATTGTATTAATACCTTACTATCGAGCATTATATCCTAACATTTATTTGTTTTCAAATAAACATAAATTTAAATGCGAGATAAATATTTGAATTACTTTATCGCGTTACTAAATTTGCATAATTGCATTTGTTTACGATATAATAGAAATGTATTAGGCTTTTATAGTAACACAGAACATATTTGTATATTCATATGTGCACCTTACAAAGGAATTTGCAAATATATGTACAATAATTGGAAAAAAGATATATTGAGATAAAGCTCAAAATTTTTATTGATATAGTCTAATTTTTTGTAAGTGATTTAAAATTTACTCATTAAGAATAAATAAAAATATATAATATGAACAAGAAAGAAATTTTATAGTTATGTTAAATTTATTTTATTTTGCGTAAATTTATAAAATATGAAAAAATGATCATTTTTAAATAACATAGCTTAAAAAACTATTAAAAATAAAAATAGAATAAATATTTAATACAGTGTACGTTTTTGAAATTGTTATCAATAAATTGATTGTCATGATATTACATTATAAAATAACACCTTTTACTTTTAGTGTAGTTTCGTAATTCAAATCATGACATGGTTTCTGGTAATTTATGGATACTTTAGATAAACTATTGTACGTAAGGTAAGACTGAATGTTGTGAGTGATTTGTTGACATTTTTTTGTTGTATGTAAATAAAGAACAATTTAATTATGATGTTAATTTCATGTTCAGTGTTTATAATTTCATTTATAATATTTAATAAATTAACTATAAATCACATCATTATTCCCAAATAAAATGTTTTTTATTATAAATTATTATTTATACAAATCACTAAAAGACCATGTATAAAATGTGATGCATATTATAACATTAAACTATAACTTTTAACTAAATTTTCTTATAATCTTTCATTATAATGTTTGTTTAAACAAAATTTTAATATATTTGTATGATTATTGGTATATTTTGTAAACATAATTATCATTTCTATTTATATAGAAATTAACTTTTTGAAATATAAGGAATGAAAATTCTCAATACTTGTTTTATACATTAAAAATTTTTGTATATAATTTTATTAATTAATTTAGATTTCATATTTAAAATAGTTTTTTACTCAATATTATTTAAATAATAGTATTTCTGTTTGAAATTTGAGCCAAGAATACATCACTATTTCGAACAATTTCACTAATAAATCTTGATAGTTATAAGTATAATCTTATATAATTAATTTATTATTTACTACCATACATAATAAGATAAAAAAATTATTTTATATTTCCATGCAAAGTAAGGGGGTAGACTATTTTATATAATTGAATAAATATCAATTTTTAGAAACAATAGAAAAATAAATATTAATCTGAATAATTGTTCACAAAAATATTGATTTTGGCGTAATTTAAGTAGTATAAAATATTTTCTGAGAAAGCTAGATTTCATCCATAACTTTCTGTATTGGTAGATATTAAAATTTATTAAGGAAAACAGTAAATATTTTTGATTCGTAAAAAAGCAAATATATCATGCATACATTATAAATACTTCACAGATTTATACAATGTAATTATAAACTAGAATTTTAAAATTTTCTTTTCACTGAACACCAAGTATTCTACATGTACAATTAAGTTTAAATATTTTTAAATCTACAAATCAAATGTATTTTCTTGTCAACTTGAAACTAATCGACTTTGCCATATGTCCAAAACGCAGGAATGGTCTAGTACCAAACCAAGATATTTTCCATTCTACTGTTTCTTGTAAAAGTTTTCTTAAAATAAAAAGGTTAAAGCGCTACAACTGCTTTTATTAAATGCAAACTCTAAAATAAATGTATAATTATATTATTTTGAAATAGTTAAATATTTATAACTACTCATAAATAAATAATTTGTATATAATTTGAAAGTATTTACTAACTTCGTATTATATACTAGTTGAAAACTTCATAAGGACATGCTTATGATATTTAAAACTAATATCATTTTCTTTGGTATTATTAGTCTTGGAGGTAATCATTTTCAATGAACAAGTATTAAAAATTGTTATGGGCTGTTCGCTATCACTATACAGTAATGAAAAGGGAACTGTTAACTCTATGTAGAGTTTTGTTCATATCAGTTAATCGATAATGAAGAATTTTTAATAGTCTGAAGAAAAATATAATAAATACAAATAATCATACAAGAAATATCTTTGTAATTTAAATAAATTATTCAAGGCACATATTAATTTTTAAATTTATGAAACAACTTTTACTTAAAGATAATTTGTTATGATAATTCATGATATTATTTATTATTTTCTTCAAATTAAATTATAAACTTTGAAAAAATTATAAAAACATTTAATATAAATTTAAAGAACATTTTTAAATTTTTACAAAACAATGTAGATGAAAAACGTTAACATTTTTTACATAATATTTAATTATTTTACAATATAATAAAATTAGTCTTCATTTTATAATGGATAAAAATGTATAATTAAAAAACTTAAAAAATTAAAATAGATTCGATAGAAAATAAAATCAATTTCATAATACAATTATTATACATTAAAAATAATTTTAATATTTTCTTGCAAAATACAAAATTATTAAAATACTTGAATACTTTTGTAAAACAGCTATGTTTTATGTTTGTTAATATGAAAAAGAAAAAGAAGATTAATATGTCTAATAATTTTTAAAACGCTTTATTTAGTCTATTTTATAAGTTTATTTCGATTTCTAAATTCAATTTCAATTATTTCTATCTTAAATTAGCTTATTTTTATCATTTAGTTGTTCTTCTAAATGTGATAAAGTTGTTTGTAGTATTTTTTTATGTTCTTCTAATATTTCAATTTCTTGAACGTTTCGTAAAACTTCAATCATGCTTATTCTTGTTTCTTCGAAATCTTTATATTTACTTCTTAAAGTTTTCTGTAGGTTATTTAACTGATTTTGTAGTTCTATATTTATCGGTTGTTGTGCCTTAGTCTCTTGCTGACTTCTTAAGAAATCAATTATATTTTAACCAATGCTGTATTTTTTTCGGTCCTTTTCTTTTCTAGAGTAAAATTCATATTTATTTTTTTCTTTTAATCTATCAACTTCCAATTGCAATAACGAGTTTTTTAATTCCTCATCGAAAGTCAATTGTGATTCAATAAATTCAAATTTTCTGTGCTTAAATGCATGTCATTTCTTCTAAAAGTGATTGTTGGAGAGTAATTTCATATGTTGAACGTTCCTATTAATATATAAAATTATTATTTTCAAATTAATGATCAATTTATTTATTTACACAAATTTTTTCAGATTTCATAATGTAAATTCCAACAATTTTTAAATCTTTCAAAAATAACTTATGAAATATTCAGGTGTGTATAAATGTCAATAGAGGTGAAAATAAAAATATATATAAATAAATGAATAAATAAATATTTTTGTTATTAGAAAATTATATCTGAAAAAAAGAGTAACATTAGAATTAAAATTTAACAAATAAAATAATAGGAATGGTATAAATAAACAAAATGTACAATATTGTTTCTCTTTATTCATGAAATTAAATATACATATTAATTGATTTAAAAAGTATATTTTAACAAAAAAAAGAATTATATCATAATATTAGGTAAATAATATGCAAACAATACAATAATATATTAAAGTATATAACAGAAGAGTGTTTTTTTCTATTTATATCTCTTCTATTTTCACCATGCTTTATGAAAAAAATAATAAAAGCATAATACTTTGAAATTTAATAATTAGAAATTAAAAAACTAGTGAGCATAAAAATCACAAGCATATGCAAAAATATGACAAAATAATTCTGTAACTTATATTATCTAAGAAAACAATAAATAACTTTAATGTATTATTTGAAAGTATATAAATATATTTAATTAAAAAAAAATATATTAATGGTATAATTTCTTATGGGAGGAATGTAAAGTTCAAGCAAATGTTCTATTTGAAATAAATTAAATTGTAATTATGATATTGACAATCTAAATCAAATATTTTACACATATTCATTACTAGGCATGTAACCCATTTGAAAATTCGATCTAAATCATACACATCAACCATTATTGCATGTCACGGTAACTCACAATTTTTTGTTTAAACTCTTCAACCTCATCATCAATATTGACTCTGAGCTCTTTTAATTCCATAGCCATTTCATCAATATCCTCTGCCATTCGCAACAGCTTGGCATCTTTTGTTGCCATTATAACACTGTTCACCTCAATGTTAGCTTCAAGTTTCTTTATTTTCACTCTCAATACCTCTTTTTCTTGTTCTACTCTTTTTCTCTCTAGACCTTCTTCACCGGCCTGTTTACTCAACCTACCAATTTGCATTTCCAAACTCAAAATTTTACTAGACCAGCTTGTTTTTATATCTGATAAATGCAGATATGTCTCTTCTAATTTTCTTTCTAAAAGTGTTCTTTCACGCATTAGATCTGCCACCCGATCATCTACTGTTACTTGATCACTTAATTCCAAGGCTACTCTTTGTTCAAGAATAAAAATTTTATCTTTTAAGTGTCTTACCTCTTCTTCAGTTTGTGCTAATTTATTTAATAATTGAGCTTTTTCACGTTGTGTAGAATGACGTAAAAATTCCATCTCATCCTGAAATTTATTAGTTAATATTAGAACTAATAAATCTAACAAAATAATTAAAAATTGTTAAAAAATATTTGTTATAAATTCAATTTCATAAATTAACTATTAATTAAAAATAATAAAAATATAAAGCATCGAAAACTATTTGAATGCATAAAAGTATCTAGATGCATAAATATCTAGATCTCCTACACAATGTAAGCAAAATATCTTTGGTGAAATAAGAAAAAATATATCTTGTAAATTAAAAAGCAATAGAAATATCCAAATTTGCAATATAATAATTTTCTTTTAATTAGATTCTATTGAAAAGTATTAAAATTTAATAAGTATTTTTGTAAATAATTTTTTTAAAAAATGATACTATTTCAGCATATATTTTCTAAAAGAGTTTATATGCTATTTTGAAAAAAATATAAAAGTAAAATATCATTTAAGCTGTAAAGACATACCTGAAGTATTAGCAGTAGCACCAAAAAATAAGCAGTAATTTCCATTGTACATATTCTTCAATACTCTTCAAATTTAAAATGTATCAATTCTTCATGCGTTTTTCACATTCATGTTTATTCAGCTACAAATTTTTCATGATCCATAACTCTTAATAAGTTTACCACAATTTATATTTATTTTAAATTGAAATTAAAGTTGAAATATAAATATATTTATTTTTAATCATTATTTAAAAATATCTGGTATAACTGTTTCTGAGCTATGGAACATTTTATTCATTGTCACCTTTTAAGTGATATTTCCAAAAATTCTCGAATGTATGTGAGTTCGTATATGGTCATAATTTAATGAAATTTATGTATAGAGGATAGAGTGCAGAGAAAACACACTATGACAAAGCACAAAGCAAAGAAATTTAAACTAGAAAAATGCTTAAAACTAAAGTATTGCATATTAATAAAAATATATTGATGAGTAATATGAATAATACAAAAAATGATTTTAAATTAAGTGCCATATCAAAATCATATTCGATGACTTGATAAAAATATATATGTTATATATATATATATATATATATATATATATATATATATGTTTACACATATATAAAGCAGATAACTGAATAAGTAAAAATTAATTTTCTATCCTGCTTACTTGTATATTATTTAATTTATCTTCATATTGCCTCAATCTTAATAATTCAGTTTTTAAATTTTCAATTTCAGATGTTGCCATTTTCAAACGTTGAGATTTATCTCCAATATCTTGTTCTTTAACGAGTAACTACAAATTTATTATATTTAGTCTTTATTATATTTAAATATAAATATTAATATATTACAAAATTACAAGATGCTTTATTTTGGCCATCTCTTGAGTTTGAAAGCCTTCCATTTCTTCTGCATTTTCTTGAATACTATAAAATTTTTTTTTATACTCTAAAATATATTGATATGATTTATTCATACAAAATATGTAAAATGTTCATTTATTCATGAATAATGTATTATATAGAACTTAATACAATACCTTCTGCATCAGTTAACGCTATTTCTAGTACATTTTTTGTACTTTCTGCCTTTAATCTATCTTCAATAAGTTTAATTTTTTCTTTTTCATGTTTTTCTATAATTTTCTTCCATTCTTTTTCTCTTTCAAACAATTTGATTCTATATTCTTCTTCTTTTTTTTCCATTTTCTTTAAAAGCTCTGCTTCTCTCTTTTGCATTTTACGTCTCCACTCATCTTCTTTATTCTCAAATAATTTAATATCTTTAGCTGATAACATAATATCATTATCAAATTTTAGATCAAAACTATTTTCTCTTTTTATATGAATGGAAGGTGAATGACATATAATAGCATCATCCTTTGATTCATCTAATGAAAATTGAGATCCTCTGATGCTACTTGTTGAAACAGTCTATACAATGAAATAAAATTATTCAATAGTATTAATAATTTTTTTAATCAATATTAAATAATAATAACTGACAAAATAAGAAAGTAGTTAATGTATATCAAACCTGAGAAAGATGTCTATTTAGAGTATGAACACTTCCTACATTCCTGATAACTGTTGTTACATCATTACCAATTTCTTCCTTAATTTTGTTTTTCAAATTAGCAAACATAATGTTTTTAAAAGTAACAATTAAGTGATAAGTACAAAATAAAACAAACTAGATCATTGCTCTATCATTTGTTAATATTTTTGCCTAACTTTGTGCAAGCAATACTAAACAAGATCTAGACAACTTTTTAAGACAATGGCATATAATAAACTTCACAAAGAATTCCTTTTCAGGCTATCATCAGAAAATACATTGAAAATTGCAAATGCTTATTACCATAGAATTAACGTTTATTTTTATCAATATATGTTAATCATATAGGACTTACCCTACTTTTCACATTGTTATATATTATTTCATTCGAATTTATCCTTTATTCCCCATATTTTATATTTTTAAATAATACATTAATTGGTCAAATGTTAAGTTATATGCACAAATACGTGTAATTGCAAATTCTTCTGATAAGTTGCAAATATGTCATTAATTTATCTACATAACGTTGGTAGATTGCAATTGCGGGAAATTTGAAAATTTGATAGAAAAATATGAAGTTTTAAGCCAAAAAAGGCTAATAGAATCCATATTATTTTGTATAATTTTAAAAATCACAACATTACATTAAAGTAATATTTAAGTTATTATAAATACTTTTACAGTATTATTAATTATTTCTCAAGATTTTGTAAAAGCATTTAATAAAGTAGAATTCAAAAATGTATTACGTTTTTCAATTATGCTTGTGCTTAAATAAAATAAAAGTATTCAACACAATTAGATCAATTTGTCATATAAGCAATTCAGATTCTACTTCAAACTTGTTAGATTTTTAATACGATACTGTGTGCAAAAATGATAACGCAGGAACATAAAAAAAAAATAATACAAAAAGAATGTGTGAATAATACAAAGAGATTGTGTCTGAAATTGTGTTAATCTCCAATAATATATATGTATCTGAGAAGATTATAAAATATATATAAAAAAGGATATATCATTGCAATTTATGTTATTGAAGTTTTTATATTTACAAAATGTAAAAAAATAATTATATTATTTTTTATATTTTAAAAAATTAAATATAAAGTTATATTTTAATAAATCTTGTCAATGAATTTTACGTTTTCACCTGTATCATATTAACCATTTTGTTAACGCAGAAAAAAATTGTACTTTGATACATACATTTAATAAAGATTTTTCTCATGAAAATCTTAATTTTACCATGCCTTTATTTTTTATTAAATTTTCTAATAAATTGAATTTATTTTTAAGTATTATAAATTTAATAAATAAGATAAAATAAATTGAAATAAATATTATAAATTGATCATAATATATTAAAATTATAGTGTTTGATTATTATGAATTTATATAAAAGAAAATTTATAATCGATTAAAATTAATAATTTAATCAAGTTTAATAATGTTATTGTAGATCTTAAGTTTTTTTTATATTTTATAATGAAGTACTTAATAAATATGTAAGTTTTTACACATTTCAGATGTTTTGTCGATTAAAAGAAATCAAACTTCGACGAAAAGAATATTACAGATAAATTTAAAAAAAAATGAAAATTATTAAAAAATATTTTAATTTCGGTATTTTGTTATGTTAAGTTTATTTTTCTATGTAATTTAATAATATAATTAATAATAATAATTTTGTTATGTAATTTTATTTTTCTGAAATAAATGTTAAAGGACAGTGAAAGATGAAATGTAAAAAAATATCAGCATGGACTACTCGAAAGTTTACTTCCGTTTTTTGTGAAATATCGTGTATTTTTTATAGAACATGAAGTGTAAAAACAAATGAAATTGATGGTTTTTACAAATCTAATAATTATGAAAGACATCATCTATGGTTATAATAATATAAATAAACCTTTTCCCAGCGATGAACTATACTATATATTACTATTTACATGTAATTCCCGTATTCTTACAATTTTTAATACTGTCTAATACGACAAGCTAAATCAAATTAGCACCGCAACAATTATATGATTTTCATTCATCCGTTGAAAAATAAAATTCACTATATTGAAAAAATCGTAATAAAATATAATAGTAAATAAATGCTTTAATGTCAATCAGAATTAGAAGTTTAGCCGAAATTGAACATCAATGTTATCTCATTGAAACATATTTTTAACGTATGTGATTTTATAAATCATTTTGTAATTATTCTAAGTTAAAATTAATCAATAATGGTAAAACTTTAATACGTTCTATACATGCAATAATCGGCAACTTGGCTCATAAAATAATACAGAAAAACGTTATCAAAAAGCAACATTCTTATATTACCCTAATAGTATTCTATAACATAATTATATTATTCTCATATAGTTGATTAGATATATTATTATATTATATTATCTTAATAGTTTAATATAATTGTATATACCATTATATTAATAGCTTAATATAACTATATTATTACATTGAATAGCATCACTTATTTAGATAGTACATATGGTTATAAATATGTTAAACACAAATAAGTAGTATATTATATGAAAATTGTAGTAATAGCTAGAAACAATGTAGAGCATACACGGAAATATGCAAGATATAGGAAGTGAATAATTTATATGGTAAAAAGAAACACTAAGTAAGAGATAACATAAATTAAAACAAAGAGAAACAGTATATATACACATTTTAAATAAAAAATGACATAATGCGACATTTCTTATATAGCGCCGAAAGATTGCACTGCAATATGAAAAGAATGACATAGCTAGTAATACATTTACAATTGTAAATAAGACTATATAGTAGAATCCAGATGCAGATTTTTTAACATATTTGAACTAGATTAAAACTAAACTTGCTGAGAAAATAATTTTTTTAATATTTCATCGATTAAATATATATATATATATATATCTTCAATTTTGAACGTTCCCCTAATTCTATTATAAATTTTATTTAATTGAAAAATCTTGACGTTTTCAATATATTTATTAAAAATTATCATCACTAATGAATTATCAATCTCTATAAGATAAAAAAATACTAAGATTGTAAAAATAAACATTGTTACAAGATGGTGTAATTTAACCTCCAGATTCTAGATATCACTTACTTTGATTTTTATATTATAAAAATCTAAAAAATGGGTAGATCTTATTTAATAAAATAGTTAACATATATTACGAATATTTTATATATATCTTGCACAAATTAGAAAAAACATTATTTTAATTACTATTTTACTTCTAACTCTATTCAAATATTCCTTAATAAATTTTCAAAATGCAAACTACATATTCAACTCTCATCAGGCATTAGTAATTTAAAATAAAATCTATTGTTGTAAATTGTAACTAATTATAATAAATTATAATAGATTGTAACTTATTGTAATGAATTGAATCTATTTGTATTAAATAAACTTTTGCTTAAATCTAATTCGATCTAAGTTATTAACGAATAAAATTTATATTTAAGTAATATATTTAAATAACTATAATATTTTAAACCACATATTAAGATAAACACAGAAATGTGAAAGATTAATTAAATAAGAAGAAATTATTCATCTAATTGTTAATAAAACGATTTATTAAACGATTTGCTATGCAATTAAAAAAAAAACTTTGAAAATATTAAAAAATGATTGAGCTCAACAACCTTTAGCAACTTTTCAAACAAAGCTGCTTAATCTTAAACTTATCTTGCGAGGAGCGTAATATCGCTCCACATAAAGGGATTACGGTATATAAATTCATTGTTTTCAAACTAGAAAATTTTTATAAACAAACTTTTAAATGCTTTTAATATTATAATTAGTTGAAATTAATAGTGTAGTGTAAATAAGTAAATTAAAAGTGTAATTCACTGTGAAAAATAATAAAGGTATTAATTTCATAAATAATGTTGTCACCTAATAAACAATGTTTTTTTATAATAATCAATTACATACATATGTTTAAACATTATTATAAATTTTGTATAATGCTAATATTATTTCAAGTGAAGATAATAATGTTTAAAATATTTATTTTACATCATCGCTAAAATTTTTAGCACAATAACGTTAATTAATAGAATTCAAATATCATAAAATACACACAAACAGTGAATAAATTATACTCATACTTTTATCAATTAAAATTAAAAATAAATTTTGTCAAATATTAACTAATATGTATAATTATACTATATTATATTTAATTATATTTTTAAAGTTATATTTAAGAAATTACGACAAAGCGTGTTATATCGTACAAGTTCTACTTATCTCTTTTGATTTTCATATAATTAATAAATTCTCCATCTTTATTTAATCTATTAATCAAATAAAATACTTTATCATAAATGCTAAAATTATGTTAAATAATAAATAATTTCCGTTATGATGTATCATTTAAAAAACCTATCGATAATAAATTTGTATAAATTACAAGATTTTTATAAAAATTATTTTCAATATAATTTCTTAAACTTTCTATTTTTACTATAAAGTTGTTTATTTTTGTAAATAGAAAAAATTAAAATTATTAATGGCTTATGATAAAAAAAATAGGTAAAAAATAATTTATGTATTTAAACGTACATAATTTTCAATTTTAATCTTAAAAAATTTTTAACAATATTTATTTTACTCTATTATTTTAATTCTGTAGTAAAAAATTGAAAAATTAGGAACACGATGCAAGTAAACTATTCGGAATTAATAGTTAAAAGAATAAACATTTATCATTTTTTAATTATAACAATATTAATGTTTCTATACATAATAATATCGATAATAAGGAACTACATAAAAAATTAATAATATATATTCTCTGAAATAAACAAAACATGAAATGAAAGAAAAATAATTAAAATGTTATCAAAGATTATTCTTATTTAATATAATTAAAATATTTATTAATTGAAAAAATATATTATTTATTTTACTACCAATTCATGGACAAAATAATAGGATGTAAAGAAACAGTAAGAATAAAATAATAAAATACATATATAAGGTATGTCATTTATTATATCTTATTTACATTAAACATTATCTTGACAACATCGAAGGAAAAATCTTTAAATTTGGTCTAATACTTTGTTGTCAGATTCTATATTGCATTCCGAATTCTATTAATTTATATTGATGTTTATAATATTTTATATAAAAAAATTAATACGAATCATGTTAATATGTTTACAAACATGTGTCTGTTTTTGGTGTAAACGTGTACTAATAAAGTAAAGAATCAATGATAAACTGTCTATATGCACATTCAAATTATATCCTACGTAATAATGTTTATAAACGATACATATGGGTCGGTAGCTGTTTGTTCTATTACTTTTTATTTTTTTTACCTTAGAAAATTGTTTCTCGAAGTAGGTACTTTGGCAAATATTTCTGGCTATTAACGTAGTATAAAGTATAGATATTAAAGAATGCATATTCACGTCGCGGAATTAATTCTATAAATTATTTATCGATTGATATTCATATTTTTTCAATCCGTTTATATTTATATTTGTTCTGCTTCTATTATATTTTTTTTACAATTATTTAAGTTTTTTAAAACTTTAAAAAATAAAATACGTGTTCTTACTTCTCTTTTTCACACTAGTAATATATAAATCTATGTAATAAACATTCATTTAATTTAGTCAAATTATTAAATAATAAATAAAAAAATTTTATTTTAATAATTAATCATACAAAAACGACAATTACTAAGAAACTGAATAAAAAATTTATACCCCTGCTTTGCTATTTTATTTCATTTTTTGTATTTATCATATAGTTTAATATTTTTCATTAAATTAATTAATTACTTTTTATACAATACATTACATTACTATGATTCTTCAAATAAATTTGAATTTACATTTTTTAATCTATTTATAGCTTACTTCATGCTTGTTAAGTTTTAGATATTAAAAAGATAATTATCAGATATCGCGCGTGCGCTTGCAGTTGTAGTTGTGATTGTTTATACAATAAAAATTTGTAATCGTTATATTGCAATATTTTATTTTAATAAAAAATTGTAATTTGACAGAAGGAAGACAGATATTTTTTTACAACACACAATAACATTATTTTCCTTTAACTGATAGAAAAAGATATTTTATGAACATTAAACTATACAAAATGTTCAAAATTGATAGTGACCGAATGTTTATTAGATATAAGTAATTACAACCCAAAGAACTTAAATATATCTTAGTTTTATTCGAAAATTATATTTACAATGAATAAATTTATTTATTAAATAAAATTGTTTTTTAAATAATTATTAAAAATTGATGTGTTTATGATTTCAATTGCAAATAGATGCATTGAAATTGGCGATATTTTCTATTTTATCTATGATTGATCATTTGATTTCTAATATGAATATTTAAGGTAACGCTATTCAATAATTAATATTATTTAAAATTTAACATTCGGTATATAAATATTTGCATGTATTCATTTATTGCTTCTTGTAATCATTGTTTTTATATTTCATATTCGATTGGCTCATTTAATCTTAATCTCTAGCCACAAACTTCTTATCAATAGGTCATAACTTCTGTCGCATCAAGCAACTTTTAATATACATTCGCTATTGTTCTTCATAAAATGAAAAACGTACTACCCAAAATACAGGGTTATTAATTAAATTCATTCCTTACATTCATATAAGTTTACAAAATTATAAAGAAATAATTTAACTTTCTATATCCACAAATTGAATGAAAGTAACAAACTTCGAACATTAACTCCTAGACGCGCGTATGCAAGCCCACCCAAAATAAAGAAGATAAAAGTACAGTATTTTAATGTTTTAATTCAAAAATTAAAAATATTATGTTTAATATACATTTGGATATATGCATGATATTAAGTGTTTAAGAAAGCTTTACTATGGACAAAATTATAAATTGAACGATCCGATTTTATTCTACTTTTTATTCTTTCTCCAATTATTTTACATTTTATTTAATTTAAGTTGCCTCAATTGGCTTATATTGCTTATTTTATTGGAATGGATATTACTTTGTTTCATTGTCAGACTTGATTCATGCTGCAAAGTAGAGAACCCACTTTTAAATTAAAAGCAATTTATTTAATTTTTTTATCTAATTAAAGAAATTTCTGAATCTATAACTTACATTCAAATAAGACATTTTTATTAATCGTTGACAATATCAATCTAGCATGACGATAGTTCACAGTGTTGAGCAGGGCGACACAAAGCTTTGTTAAAATGAAAACAACCAAATATACCTATTTCTTTTCCTCTTATCTGTTTCTATTTAAAATCATCTATTTTCATCACCAGATATTGACTTATGTATTAAATCAATATCAATACGTTTATTAATAAACACTACTTTTTTAATTGCACACCTAAAAGATGTTATGAAATTACACTTTTACCAAGCAAATAAAACTCCCGAATTTAATTATTTTTTGAGCTAAACAATTAATTATAATTTTTTGTAACTTAATATTATAGTTCATGATAACAGGATATATCAAAGACACTTAATGTATATATACATATTAAATATTCACTGGAATTATGATATTCTATCAACAAAAATGGTTGAAATATTTAATTTTCAATATCTCATTGGGAACTTAGAAGATATCAAAATTCAATCATATATGCTTTGACACTATATAAAAATCTTGAATTAAATTAGATCTCTTAAATTTTCAATACATATTACTAATAAATATCAACGGTAAATTCTTATAGTTAAATATTAAAAATCAGTTAAACTATTTAAAAAATTATAAATTAAAAACGATGATATTGTGATGAGAATGCTGCAAAAATAAGGTTGAAAAGAAAAATCTGATTAATCTAAACATCATTAAAAAGTATTTTTATTCAGCCAGATGTCTCTGATAAATAAGCGTTAATGTATTCAATGAAAGTAAATACTCATTAGCTTATAATTCTTTCTTCATTTTGTGTCTCTTAAAAGAAATATATATATATATATTTATTACATATCAAAAACACAGGAAGAAGAAAGAGGTATGCAGACTGACAAGGCTAATTTATAGTCTTAAATTCTTGTTACTGTTATTGAAAATGTATATTGTTGGAAATCGATAAATAAATATGCTAACTTTCATTTAATACTTATATTTATTTAATAAATTTTTTAATACTGACAAAAAATTTGACGTCATTTATTTATTTAATTTCAGAAATAATCAATAAGAAAATATGCATTTATCTTTTAAATTTTATATTCATGAAGCAAAGAATAATGCTTTTCATGGCAAACAAAATTGCCTAAAACATAAAAACTTATATGTTTTCCATTGAAATTTGTATTTTGTATAAATGAAACTTGTATAAACAAGTCAATAAAAATTATAACTTATACTCTATAATTCATTGAATTAAACTAAGTTAATTTTTACAATATTATATTTTTATTATTTTTAATGATGTTTAAAAAGTTAAAATGTTAACGGATGTGTCGTAAATTTATTTGCCATAAAAAATTTTTTATGTATTAAATTTATTTAAACTTAACCATAAATGTAATGATTATAAAAGTAAAACAATAAAAAAATTCTATTGGTAGATAGCACATTTTTAATTATTCTACCATTTAATAGCTAAGACCCAGATAAAATTCGTCTTATGTATATAATTTTCAGTTCTTTTAGTCAATAAGATGACAAATTAAAAATAGCAATAGAATAAGAGCGAATCGTACTGAATTTTGAAAATATATTTTCATTGCATCTCCCCTCTTTTGTCTATTGTGATATTTTTTTATTTATTATTGTTGATATTTTGTTCCATGCTTTCATCATTGGCACGTTTCTTTTTTTAACAAATGGTAAATATTTGCATGAATTATGTAAATACACATATGTGAAAACAAATTTTCTGACTCATACTTACATATTCATATGCACATGAATATATACACTCCGACATACGTATATATTTATTTTCTTATCGAAATAGCGTTAAAGTCCAAAATTTTATTAAAATACGCAATAAGAATAACACTACAGCGAATCACACCGAGATCCTTCTACGTATGAAATCCGTAAAAAAGTGGTTAACTCGCATGTTATCATCTGATTCAATTAGTTAAACATTTAAGTATTAAGCTCCCAATCACTTGTTCAAGTCTGTATTTATCTAGTTATTTAAGTGATAAATTATATGAAAATTTGCATGTATAATTGAGTTATGTCAAGCATTTCGACTTCGTTATAATTCAACTATACATATATTGTCACAAGAATCACGACTCAATAGTCAATGTATGACTATGCGTCAATGAATTGTAACATCAATTTCATTATTCTGAAATTTTTCGATGATATAGATCCATTAGAGCTCTATCAATGTTTATCGATGAGTCAAGAGAGATTGACAACAGATCTTTGTAGTACCGAGGAAGTGAAGGCTAAACGAGAAAACCTTGTGATGTCGCTGACATCTGGGTCCTAAGGGCCGTTACACTATTCATGATCTTTTTCTGGTGGCCAACAAGGGTTATACCAAGAGCCGTGAGCTCCTGTACAGTGACTCGTGCAGCCGCTTCAAGATTTGTTATTCCAGCCCGTTCAAAACTCTCTGCATAACGGGACATCTTGATTGATGCTAACCACTCATTCACTGATGTCAACTGCGTCAGATCCACAGCATCTGGAGCTAAAGGATTCGTGCCCCTGTCAAATCAAACAAATATTAGTAGCTCTCAATATGGAGTAAAAATTAAAGTTTTTTTCTTTTACGTTATGTACTGTCAAGCTTTTATTTTATTTTAGCATTTATACTTTCAATGAAATCTTTCAATTAATAATAAAGTTATATTATTCTATTTTAATAGGTTGACAAGATTTCTTTTAATCTCAACGATTCTATAATCTAAATAATTTTCTAACTTCTATCAGCACGCATTTATTGCAAATTAAACAAAAAGGAAGTCAATTGTTATGCATCGGTATTTAAGGAATCTAAGTAATTATGTATTATATTCGTATATTTATTAAACAATATATGAAATTTATGAAATGTATAAATTGATTTTATATTCCATTTTATAAACAAAAGTTAGTAAAATAATGAAACAATTTTTTTGTATATTATTGTATTTGATTATATTTTTTATTGTCATTATTATACATTATAAGATTAGTAAACCTATCAAATTTTATTAAATCTTTTGGCTTAATAAATAAATGAATAATTTTAACCTAACGTAAAAATATTGGAAATTGTATTAATGTGAGATTAATTAATTTATTTAACAAATCATCGAGAAGCAACATTTTAATCATACATATGCGTAATAAGAGTAACCCGTAATGAATTTCACATTTTTCTTATTCTTCTATTAGTTTTGAAATGTTCGTATTTACATAAATTATCTATATGTGCATGTATGTACACGCATATACGTGTTGATACGTGATAAAATTACGATATATAAAATATACAATAAATATAAATCTAAAAGGTTGCATTGATATAATTATTCAATAATTTCTATACATGCGAATATTGAATGGAAAATATATAAGCTTATATAGTAAAAATTTTTAAGATAAATATTAAAGGGAGATAATAAAAATATTAAAAACTTACAAAGAAAAACAATAAAGAAATAAAAAACTAATATAAAAACAGAAAGAATAATGAATAATATATAAGAAATAATTTTATCCTATTGTTCTCAATACGACTCTAAACAATTTTAAGCACGAGCATTTAAAATAATTTCTAGTTTTAATTATGGATAATATCGAATTTATGTATATACTTTACAAAAAGCGATCGCAACATAATTATACAGGAAATGCGGTCGTCCGTTATAATATAATACTTTCATGTATTTTGTGTGATAAATTTTTGTAAATATTAACAATATACTATTTATTGTATTTGCATGATATATTCCAATAACAATAATTTAATATTACACAATATGTTCATTTTACGACAAACGTGTCATGCATGTACACATTTATGTAGATACGACAAGTTTGGCGATTACACTTACATCTATATTTACAATGCTATTTTTTATTTAAATATATGTATAGTTGCATATTCACATCTATATACATAATTTTTCATATTTGTACAGTTATATTGCTTTGTGTATATGTATTTGTCCACATGTTCGTATATGTCAACACACATATAATAAGGCATGTACTGTTAAATAGTAAACAAAAATTGATTTTTACATAAAAATTAATCTGGATAATAAAATCGTGCAGTATATAATATTAACTAAGCACTACAATAATATAAGCAGAATAAATGCTGTATACATGGATGGAGAGTATTGTATACAATATTTGATACGTTGTTTTGTGGGTGAGATGAGAGAAAGCAATACGAGTTCATTGTTTTTTTATTTGGCATGACGGTTAACGTAATCATTAATTAAATACATTTAAAAAAGAATATAAATTTATTGATCAATATTTTGAAATAATTATATCATAAAATCAAAAATCATACTACTTAATTATGATGAATTTTATTTTTATATTACTAACGTACTTTCTTTATTCAAAGATTTTTATTTCTCTTTTTGATGTTTTATTTTTAAGTGGAATAAATTGAAAAAATATTCCTCACTTCTCACTTCACTTTACAACTTTAAGTTTTATTGTTCTTTTTACCTTTTCCTCAATAATACGTTGATTGTCGAGATGACGAATGGGGTGGGGAGAAAGGTAAGATATCCTTTTTTTGGTTTTGACAATCATTAGAATTCGTTATTAAAGATAACTAACTAATATTATTATCGAGTTCGTAATTTTATTCCTGAATGATAAATAAATAAATAAATGCATATTATAAAAGAAGTTATATGTAAAATTGAGATTCGACTAAAACTGCATATGCAGTATTAATTAACACTATTTTTATAAAAACTTACCCAAACAGAATGAAAATGAATGGTTATTTCTTAAAATCGTAGAAAATTTTTTTTATAAACATTATATCGATTTTATAAACATTATAACAATAGTATTAAATGTAATGATAAGAATAATAATAATGGTGATAAGAAATTAATTTATCATTATTTATCACTTTAATAAATCGCATTATTAATTGAATGCTTTCTAAGATAAATATCATACTTATTCGTATCAATGACTGTATTTGCAAAAATTATAAGTTATTTGCTAATAATTGCAATATTATGTAGTATGAATAGCCAAAAGACACTGATTTAAAATGACTATCTAAATTCTACATTCTAAATGCTATCTTACATACATTTATATTACTACTCGTTGGTTGTTATCGTCCTCTAATAATGATTAATACAATTAATATGGCTGCCTATATTCAGAAATTTGCTTTACAATAATCGATAATCTATTTCATCTTTTATTTTAAACTACATATTTTGTGAAAAATTATTTATTACCATTGGTGAAAAAATCTTAAAGTTTCGAGTATTCGCAGGTACATGCGTAAATTAAAAAAATACTATTTTATTAAATCAGAGTAAGAGATTTGAAACTTTTAGAAATAAATAAGAAATTTAAGTACGAAGAATATCAGATCATACTATGACTTTTAATGTAAAAACATTAGTTAGCATTTTATTAATGCTCGGCTGAATGAGATCGACAATTTCATTTATAATTACTTAGTCGCAGTCTTTAAAATTCATTACTTATATAAGAGTGAATAATAGGGCATAAAAGAACGTGTAAGTATAGTATTTATTTTCAGGTTTTTCACTTTCGATAACGTGTAAGAAAGAGTCTGACACTGAATCGGTCTTCTGCTGTCGTATAATATACGTACAAAATAATGTATTATACAATTTGTTTAAAATTGAATGAAAAAGTGAGAAAGGAAGGGCAATAAAAAATAGAATTGAATAATGGAGCAAAAGAACTCTTGTAATACTCAAAAGCACAGTTGAAGCAGTATAAAGAATCCTAAAAATACTGCTTATCTTCAAAGGCATATTAGCATGACTGAACCAGAACTAAAGTATGGCATAAGCAGTTGAAGAGGCGTTAATGGAGCGTTAAAGGAGCTGTGAGCATCATTTAGATAGGATCATTAAAGTGCTTAGGCTGAATAAAAGGTCAGCCGAAGTGGGTAAAGGGTACCCAATTAGGATAGGTGAGCGTCGGCTGGTGTGCGAGTGTGTGTGTGGCTGAATGCGTGTGATAGTGTAGGGTTCGTCCGGCTCCCGCTGGCATTACTGGAACGGCAAGTGCTGAATGAGCCTGATGGGCCACTACTTCAACAAATGGGCTTCCGGCCGAGCCGTGACCGGAGTGGCCCGCATGTGACATCGTCGCCTGGACAGCCGCCTGGGCAATTGCGGCATGCGATGTCGTCACGTAGTATGGATTGTGAGCAGGTGGCCTCAGACTGTGTTGTTCACCCGGTAGCAGTAGGCAGTAGCGTAGTAGCAGTAGCGGCCGACCAGTACGGTACCAAAGACACCACAAAACCAAAACCACAAAGAATTAGCCCAGAAACAAAATACAAAGGCAAGTTTTATGGCTGAACTAAGGTACTCTATCAGGTATTTATTTAGTTATTTAACAGTATTATTTCAGTAAAATATTCTAAAATGTTATTTTAGCGTTATGTTCAGTCACGCTTTTCGCACGTTTCATCATAAAGATCCAGAACTTAGATAAGTGTACAAAATATTAGTAGAATTTTTTATAATTTAAGCATTAAATGATTATACAGAAATAAATAATTTTGAAAAGAATTTGCAATTATTACATTATTCAATGTTCAATAAAAACTGACAAAATATATTGAGATGTCATGATTCTATATTGATAATTGAAATTTTAGATATTAATCAACATATAAAATAAATTTAAAATTCCGAAATTTATTTTAAATATAGTTTAATTTAATTATAATAAAATATAAGGAAAGTGTTTTGGGAAAAGGGAGTTCAAGAAATCCATAAGCGCTAAAAGCATTATAAGCTTTAAAAAGCCACCACGTATAAATAATTTTTTTATCTTGAAAATAAAACAAAATTTATAAAAATTAAAAAATTTTAATAATCATAAATTAAATTTTGTTTTTTTTTTTAATATTAATGCTGCATCAATACTGCTGCTATTGCTCCTTCTTCTGCTACTGCTGCTACTGCTGCTGTTGTTCCCTCAATGCAAATAGCTAACAGAAGTCAAAAGGTATGTATATCATAAACAACAGATTTTTCTAAATATAAATTGAGTAGAAGAAATAACTATAAAACCATTATAAATAAATATAAAATTAATAACAACGTAAATATTTTCATCCTTTTTATCTGTGAGTAAAAATAAAAGATATTCACGTTTATATTAAAAAAATATTTGTTGTTGCTTCGATTTGAGTGCGTTCCAGTAATGCCAATTAGATTTATTCCATTATTAAGTAATTAATATTACATAGCACACATCGAGACTTTTTCACACGTATCATGTGCTTTTAATTATTTTATAGAAAGTAGTTGTTTGTTGCAATTCAGTGTAACATCAAAGCTAATGTGCACAAAAAGAAAATGAAGCCAGAGCATAAAGCATTCTTTATATATAAAAACAAATCAACTATAAATCTAATAGCTTAATCAAATTTCATTTATAATTTCACGTGACATGCAGCATAATAAATATAATATGTAATACTTTGACGATTTAATGTATATTCATTGTTGTGTAATACATTTAATTCTTATCATTGCATATTTTTACTTAATAAACTTTTACAAATATCGTATAATTCATCTTTCAATAGTTCGATTACAGTGAATATTATATAAACTTTCATCAAAACTATAATAATAACATAATAACAGTAATAATAATAATTATTATTATTATATCAGATTTATTAATAACGAATAAAATAGCTCAAATTTATACTATATATAAATTATAAAATAAATAAACAAAAAATAATATTAATAATTGACAGTTGTTTGCTCAATGGCTCTTAAACTAAAGTATATAAAGGGTATTGTAAAATCTAATTACATAGTTCTGATCAAATTCAAACTAATTAAGGTGAAAGACATTGCATTAGTTTACCTGTTCTGAGCAACTTTTCTGAGAGTATCTGGACTCCGAATGAGTTTATCGAATGTTTGTGTAAGATTAGCGAAAGTTGGCCGATGAGTCCGTTCCTTTTGCCAACAATCAAGCATAAGTTGATAAATTGCTTCAGGGCAGTCCATAGGCGCTGGCAATCGATAACCTTTTTCTATAGACTTTATCACATCTTGATTCGACCAATTCCAATAAGGCCTCTCGCCGTAGGACATCACTTCCCAGCATACGATACCCATACTCCAGACATCTGAGGCGCTAGTAAATTTACGAAATGCTATCGCCTCTGGAGCAGTCCATCTTACCGGGATTTTTCCTCCCTGTGTAATCAAGTAAATTAAACTCATTACGATATTTGACACCAAGCTTTTACCTTAATTATTTTTAAAGATTTTTACTTTTTTTAATTCAAGAACATTTTGTGATATAGATATACTCACTCTCGTTGTGTATGCTCCTTCCGTAGCACTTTCGATTTCTCGGCTCAATCCAAAATCCGCAATCTTACATACAAGAGCTGCATTGACGAGTACGTTTCTTGCTGCGAGATCTCGGTGTACATAATTCATCTCCGCCAGATACTGCATACCGCTCGCAATACCGCGTAACATACCAACGAGTTGGAGTACCTGGAACTTACCATCATTCGCGCGTAGGAAAGTGTCCAGGCTACCGTTCTCCATAAATTCGGTGATTATCATCACAGGATTGCTTTTCGTTACGACTCCTTGCAAAAATATAACGTTGGGATGTTCAAACTGACCCATTATAGAGGCTTCGGTTAAAAAATCGTTACGTGCTTTATCGGCGGAACCAGGTTTCAATGTCTTTATAGCCACATCAATCTCTGATCTACCATCTGGTGGAAGCTTCAATTTTCCTCGACATACGTCTCCAAACTCGCCACCACCTAAGATACGTAAACAAATACATATTTTCTATTTGCACATTATGGTTCAATTTAACTTAAAGATGTGCTTTTTGACAATTTAAACTATAATTCAATTTAAATTATTTAAAAATATTTTAATTAAAAAGCAAATGTATAAACAGTGTATCACTCTAAAACTTTATGATTAAATATTTTATTTCAAGAACAAATTCCATTCACATTTTTAAGATTTAAATGGTTGCCTTAAGTGATAATTTGATTAGAAGGAGAACATTAATCATAAAAATCATAATCTTACAGAAAACAGTTGAATACTAACCAATAATAGCCTCGATGGTGATGTATCCAGCGTCGATCTCTCGAGCAAACTCACGAACCGCTTGATTCGGATCTTCGTATGTATGAGGATCTACATAGCTTCTGGCATTGGCACCACTCGTACCACCTGCACCACTACTCGAGGCGGCTACTCCAACAGCAGGTGTAAAGAGCGGTGTGGTCACTGTAATATTACAAAAACAGAGTTCATATCATGTTGCCACAAAAATAACACTTTCGTAGATGCTTTGATTTGCCTCATTTGCCTCATTTACCTCATTTCCCTGATTTGTCTTATTAAACTTTTTTCACTAATCACGTGTATCTCTCTTATCTTATTATCCTAATTATTCTATTAAATTTTCTTTCTCTACTTTCTATAATTTTTTTATTTTTTTTAGATAAAACAATTTTATAATTTTTAAATAAACATTATCAGCTGTAAGTAGATAATCAAAATTTCATCATTTAGACTAATACTTGATTTATTACATGTATATAATAGTAATACAGATTTCAATAAATTTTAAAGATAAAAAAATCGATTTATACCAATAAAAAATGCATATCTTCATAATTTTTAAGAATATCTTTTTATAACAGATTTTAATTTTTCATTTCTTTTTAATATATACATGCAAAATTCTTAATCAGTAAAGCACAATCATTTTGAAGTGATGAACTAAAATCAAATAAAACTAATTAATATTCAACAATTATTGTATTAATATTAATATTAATGGAACAATCGTTAAATTTTAAAATTATTAAATGTTAATTAATAATAATGGTCAATTAATAATTGTATTTCAATTATGGAAACTTAATGAATTATTTATTTTATATGTATTGTATTATAAACTAGTATAAATAAATAATCTATTTTTATATATATTTTATATAGTAAATAAATAATTATTAAAATTATATAAATAATTAAAAATGTATAAAATTTTACAACCATTAAGCATTAAATATTTTGTTTTAATTTTCTAAAGTATATAAATACGATGACAAATTGCAAGAACATTACTCAACTTTAAAATAACAAGTTTTCCATATATATAATTTGGTATTGATAATAATTTAAATTAATAGTGAATAAAATAAATAACAACAACTTTGATAATAAACATTAAAAACTTTGTTGATAAAGTTTTACATTAAAAAATACAAATTTAACATACAAATATATGACTTTAAAATCCATACACATTGGTTTTAATGATGAAATTGTGTAAATTGTTAGAAAAAATAAATATACATAAATACCAAATGCGTTATTCTACACTTAAGCTAAATAATAAATAAAGCACGTTTATTATGCACAGAAAAAAGTGAAAATAAGATTAACAAACGATCAAGCAGGGATTTTATAAAATAGTCAAATGTACAAGGAATCAGATACATGTTTCTCCAGAATTCGAATATCACTCATTATTCTTACAAATAGGTTGTCATTTACACACACAGATATATAAGCAAATCGTAGAACCATAAAATTTAATTATTTGAATACATTGATGTAAATGTTCATTATGACTATATTTTTCCTGTAAATTGAAAATAATAACTAATGGAGTATGTAAAACTTACACAAAAACTTATTTTAGTTACTGACTCAATTATGATTTGCTAAAATTTCACTATTTATTCTGCAGTATATGATATAACATAACAAACAATAAACTAATTGTCAAATAATACTAAATATAAACCAATTTTATCTAATGTAAATGATGTAAAATGACACGACAGCAAATTGCACAAAATGCAACGTAAAAATATTAAGTAATAAGATGTTGATACGAATTTGAATATAAAATTAAAATAATTAAAATAAAATGTTATAATACTGAATTGAAAATTTTGTTAATTTTTTAATTATCAATGTTTTGAAAAAATGATGTACTCATGCATATAAAATATAATTATCGATTATAATTATCCAAATATAATTATCCAATAGATAAATTATAATTATTCATATTATAACAACCATGGTTGACATACATTTTATTTGATAAATATACACAAGAGTTTTATTTATCTTACATATTATATTAATATAAAATGGAACATTAAAAACAAATTTTTACTTATATAACTGTGTACAATATAGGTATAATACATGTATGGATGCATGCATGCAAACAAACTAACTATAACACATTATAGTTTTATCTATAGGAGTACTAACATTGGCTAAATTTAATAGAGAATCATGGAAAGTCAAAATTAGGTGTTGGAAGAAGACTTACTGTAGGTCACAACTAGTCCTGTAGTAGCAGGCGATTGTGTACATTGAATCATTGGATTTTAATTGGATTTTGTTCATGGAGGCAGGTTCGAGAGTTCAGGGAATTCGCACATGAAAAGAAAGAATCGAAAGAATTTAGTTGGATACTGATGCTTAAGCTGCAGGATAAAATCAGAGATTTTTTTATTAAACAAATATAAGAAGCAAACTTTTAAGATGTTATTTTGGTTATCATTGACTAGGGGTCTACAATTCCTTAATTTATTCCTTTTTTTTCATAATAAAAATTTATGTAATACAACTTAAAAAATATGGAATTTTATTATTAAATTAATTGAGTTACAAAAAATCCGTATAAAATTTAAATCTAAAATTTATATTTCATTTGCTAAAAGCTAAAAATAATTTTAATAAAGTTTTGCAAGACATGTGATAATGAAACAACTATGAGTGAAAATTATATTGTCTGGGGATTGTGAATATTACATAATAAAAAAATAATAAATAAAACACGAAGAACGATCTGAATAATATTTAAGGTACCTTCTCCGTTTCGATATTCCAAAGTGTCACAGTCGCTTGGTTGTTTCTTATTACATTCATCCGAGGCCCTGCTACATCGAAAAAGCATTATCAAAAAGAGTATTTTTTTTTAATATGTGTTATTTATATTTAAAAATTCAATTTGGAAATTATTTAAAAAAATTTATTTAGCTATTAAAAGAGATATTACCTTTTTAAAAAGAGTACTGTCATAATAATTATTATTACTAATAGAACAACCACTGCCACTACTGCTCCAGCAATAATTCGAACTTGCATGTTATCATCTTCGCCGACATAATCTGTAAATAGAAACATTGAATACAAATTAATTTTCAAAGATTTAAGTTGCTTATATTTATTTAAAATAAATTATAGTAATTCATTGGCTTACCTAGTCCCATTGCGTGAGAAGTCTTTTTGTAAACAATGGGTGTATACTCGCCCCAGCCACGCGTAGTTTTTGCGCGTACCTGTATTGCATAGTCTGTTGCAGGTTTCAAACCCTTGAATGTTGATGAGAGATCGGATGTTTGAATCACAGTCGCATTGGTTGCATCCTCAAATCGAGAATAGCATCTGACTGAAATTTTTAATTAATTTTACATTAAATCGATCATACGTTTCGAACTCGATACGAAAATAAAAGCCTGTTTTATTTTAAACTAATTTAGTATTATTATGTTTAAATATATTTTTTTAAATGTTTGTAACTAATATAAAATTATAACATAAATCGAATGTATATTGATTATAATCAATTATTAATTTTTAAAACAGTTCTTTTACGTTCTATAATAGTAATTTTTTAAATGTTACGTTTTTTCTAAGCCTTTCATATGTAATTAAAATACTTACCTTCGTATCTTTCAACAAGGTCACTATCACCGCCAATATCATTTATCGGTGCATCCCAACTAATACTCAGTTCAGAACTTTTGACGCTGGTAATTCTAACGTTACTAACAAGACTCGGCACACTTGCTTCTGTTGTCACCGTTATATCGACGTATTCGGACCTACCAACTAAGGGTGAAACTCCATTTTCCGCAAATACTTGGAAACGGTAAGTTGTTACAGCATTTAATCCAGTAATCGTAATCTTGGTATCGTTAAAAATTTCCTGTAATCAAAAAAATTATTTTATATTTATATTTTGTGCTTTACAACTATTAATTTACTTATTTTAATAACTTTTTATAACTTAAAAAATATTTAATAAGAAAACGGTTATATCAATATATTTATTTAAATCTGAAAATTGGTATACATGAGTTAATTTTAATATTATTTAATATTTTATATATATTAAAATAATATCAGTAGAATATAATTGCTAATTTAACCGTATACTTTGGTAAAATACCAACCATTTAATGAAATTTACTTCATTATGTGTTTACATGGCGGTAAACTATTTTCTTTTATTAAATCAATGTTATTGGATTACTATTAAATACTAATTATATTATTATATTGCTATTATAAAGACTTATTTATTAGATATTTTTAGATTCTGTTAAATAGATAAATTATGTGCAATTAGATGCTATATTAAATAATATTTAAGAATAAGAATGTAAAACAAATAGTACTTTAATTAATCAGTCAACTTACAGTGTTAGGAATGTACTTAACTCCAGAACTGCAAGCATCACAGACCACTCTGTACGTCGTATCTACTCGACCACCTAATATATGTGGAGCATTCCAAGATAAAATTACAGTTGACTGATCAACAAAATTAACTGTAAGGTTTTGTGGTGCTGAAGGTGGTTCTGCAGCAAAAAACATAACTAGTATCACTCAAAATTATCAAGTAACTTCAACAGTACTTTCTGTATTTTTATTCTAAATGAAAACGCAAATCAAGTAAAACATAATTATCACAATGATATTTTTGCTAACTTCATTTTTAAGACAAATTGTATTTTCTAATTCTTCAATTATTTTTTTCTAAATTTTCGTGATTAATTATAAATATACTGACTAAAAAATGATTTATGCAAATTTATTAGTAATTTATTAAAACGAGTAACAAATATTTTAAGTTACATATGAAGTTATGCGTTAATTTCATAAAAATGTATATATTTTCATAAAATATGTACACTATATTTTGCATAAAAATAATATAATTCCAATTATACTATATACTATATGCGATGCTTCTATACATAGAAGAAATAATTTAATTTATTTTTACAAAATATATTATATAATAAAGAATTTATTTATTAATTTATCAATATAGTGTTTTCTGCTTTTTATATAAAGTGATAATTTAAAATATAATTTTATATAATAGATTTTATTTCTGAAAATACGGAAAAATATAAAGTTAAAGAGATCTAAAAAATTATATAAAAATATTGCTTTGTGATTTTTTAATTTTTTACAAATGTATACTTTATAATTAGTAAATATTCTTCGTGACAAGTGAAGAAACAAAAATTTAATTATGTTAATAAATTTACACGTTTAAAAAACTAGCAAGACAAAATGATTTGTAGTGTAAAAGTAAACTGATAAACTAACAAGAATTTATCAATGGTAATATTAGAATAAAAAATAAGTTATACATACGAGTGCAGGGTGTCTTTTTAGGATCCTTGCTTGGTCTATAATATCCAGAATCGCACCTGCATTCCGTAAAAGCGTAATCTGGTGCCTTGCTGTGCGCAGGACAAAGTTCGCAGACATGTTCACCGGCCTCGTGTTTGAATTTACCGATGGGACATTCATTGCACTCTTGTTTAAAAACATCGGCTTGATAACCAGGCTTACAGTGACAACCGCCATTAGCAAGATACCATTTACCATCGCCCTTACAAAGGTATGTTGGTTGCTCGATCTTTATAGCATTGACTACGCACGTACCAAGAGTCTGCTCGATTAGGGCGACTTCTCGACCCGTTGGTGTCGCCGGGAAATGAGCAAAATTTACTGATATCTCAGGACAGCTGATGTAATATACTTTGATAGCCAGTAACGAAATGCAAGCACCCTGATCGCGAAACGCAAAATAGACACCCTTCTTTGTCACTGGAACTGACTTTACTTCCGTATTTATTATCACTTCAGTATTGCTATTAAAACGACCCTCATTCGCCGCTATTCGACCTGAATTATAGAAAAATTTTTTTAATCTTAATGAAAAATAATTAATTTTAAGGCTCTATTGTCACAAGTAATAAGCTTTTTTGTGAGCAATGGTATTGTATTATTATCAAATTTTGCATTTATTCTCATTGTATACTGTAACTTCTCATAATATATAAAACTACTTGAATTATGTATATGATATATAAATATGAATTAAATTATATTAATAATATGATTTTTAAAAAATTTTATAACATTGCTATACAATAAAAACTGGAAGTGGATCAAATAATAACTGTAATTTTTCATTTAACAGAAAACTAGTTAATAACATAATTATATTTTATATTACACTTTGTATATATAATATTTATAAACATTTATATACATTTCAAATTATACATTATAAATCGTAAAATACGAATTTCGATTATAATTTAAATAGAATCTCTAAGAAGTTGTAGATTAATTTTCATATTTTCCAGTTTTCATTTTTTTTATTTTTTATATATCAGTATAGATATATTGTTACATCCATTGTTAAATCTTTATTTGCTTTAGTCAAATATGAAAAAATTTGAAATAATTTTTATATTTAAATTAATTTAAATATTACTTTAGATAATACAATCATTTAAACTTTATCAACTAATAAAACTATTTCTACATGTTAATTAGAAAATTTATAATAGTATGAATTATAAATTATAATAATTATAATAGAAAAATTTCTTAATAAAAGTCCTTTTTTTAATAAATATAAAATAATTAAATCTCTTCTGTACATCATTTATATCGTACTTAATAATAATAATAATTGATTATAAAACTTTTTGATAATGACTATATTTATATTTAAAAAATGATATAATAGTACTTTTGCATGACGTGCAAGATGTGATGTATAATGAAATCAAGAACAGTGGTAAAGGATAATGCAAAAAAAATAAAAGAAAATTTACAAACCTATAAGCTTATAGCTATCTGGTTCCCAAGGCGGTGGTTCCTTTGTTGCGGCATCGAATTCGTAATAAAGAAGACTGAAGGTCTCTTTGCAACTAAGTGCATTTCCAGGAAACAACGAACAATCTCTTACTGTGAATTTGATTTCTATATACATTCGATTGGCTGGACCTCGTTCGATAAAGGGTGTCCATAGCCAATTATTAACATTATTGTATGCCACATCACAAACAACGTAACTCCTCCAATTGATGCCTTTGTCAAAATTTGTAAATGACTCTTCAACCCACTGAAATAGTAAATATAAGTATAACATTTGATACACAATAGTATATTACAAAATGTTTAATTATTTTAACACAACAAATTTTAACACTTCAAATATATTAAATAATGTTCTTAAAAATTTTCACTAAGCTATTATTCATTAAGTATTTTCATAATTAACAATAAACATAGAAATATATTTTAGAATAACATCTAAAATCAAAATAACATAATATCTTTTAAACATAAATAACATGTGCGCGTAACTTGTTGCAATATTTATAATATATATTTCCTATTCAAAATAGAGTTATTATAATTAAATAACATATAGTTATTCAATAAAATTTATAATGTTACATAGAATAATAATATGTGAAGAATAGTATTTAATTGATTAGATTAAATTAAAACTAATCTATATAACATTTACATGTATGATAAATGTAACTAAGATTGTTAAAAGAATGTTCACATTAATCCAAAATATAAAACTTGAATTTTATTATTATTATGTTATTATCTATTATTATCTGGCATTCATTGAGTTGAATGTAAAAGGAATCATTGAGTATAATTATAATATATTTAAGAGCTAATTTTTAATCTTTTGGAATTAAAATTTCCAAACACATGAAAAGTGAAACTGTGGGACACAAAACCACAAATTTTTGAAAAGTTCATCCACACTCAAAAATGTATTTGGAAATTTTTTATCTTCAAAAATTTTATTCGGAAATCTAAATATTGATACGCTATTAATTAGTTTGTAAGAACAGTATATTTCTACAGATTATCCATCAAATTATCTTATCTTTTTCTTACCTTGTTTTATATTCACTTTAAAATATTAATCTTACTCTACATAATTTCACCTAAATGAATTTATAAAATCTAATCTAAAATACACCATGATCACTTTTGTACTACAAATGTAAAATCGGTGTATTTAAATGTTGTTGCTTTTATTTTCTTAAAGTTACGTACTACTATGTAAATATATAAATGGGGTTAGACTATAATCTAAATGTATATCAGCATATAATGAAACTTTTTCAGTGTGTTAATGTCCACACAATAGCTTATTTTACTGCATAATATTACTATAAACAAGGTAACAGAATCGACTTGGTCAATATAAATATAATTATCTAAATATTCCGAAACTTCAAAACAAAATTTTTCCTGGATAGTTTGAATTTTCCGATAATCCATTTATTACATACTAATTAGCTTACATCTTTGGTACATATGGGAGATTACTGTATTTGTCATACAAAAATATACTGCACACTGATAAGAACATAAATCGTAACACGATTTATTTTTATCTGCACCTTACTCGTAGCATAAAATTTACAATCCTAATATATTTTACACAAATATATAATAAAAACCGAAGTATTATTAATATAATGATAGATAATAAAAAAATTCTTCAAAAATATATTCTAAATAGATATCATCTTAAAGAGTTACTATGTACCATATATCAACATAATTTTTAAAAAGAATTTTAAATTAAGTGAATAAACTCTTAATTCTAAATAAAGTTTAAATTCTAAATTTCGTGAAAAATCGAGAGAAAAACTAAAAAATATATTATAAAATACATACATCACATTACAGAAGGATAAAATTCGCTGAATGTATGATGAAAATAAACTTTCTTATCTTATATTGTAGTAATAATATCAAATGTAATAAATGCATTACTGTATACCACGTAATAAAAAGTTCACAACCATTGCCAAATTATTTTAAGTTTCTAAAAGATAAAATTTTGCATTGTAAAAATATTCTAATTTTTACATTTATTATAAAATATTAATTCTAAAAAATTATTTTATTCAGAATATTATAAAAAATTAGTTAAAATATTCTTTAAAATATTTGGCTTTTATAGTATAGAAAAATAATATTAATAAAAATATCTGATTTTTTAATATATACTTCGAAATTTATTCAACGACAATAAAATAATTTTAAAAAGCAAATAACATTAAAAGCACAAAAATATGAAAAAATATAATTAAATAATAATTAATAATCATTATAAAGTGTCGTATTTATTATTAATAAATAAATGATTAATAGGAAAAAATTTCATAGAAAAATCATAACTATCGAAAAGAAAATGAAATTTATTTATAAATTTATGAATTCGATGTACATATCTCACTAGTTTTACGTCTTTAAGCTTTTCTTCATTTTAATATATTATAAAAATTCTTAATATAGAAACACCTATTATAGAATCATAATTTTGATAACATAGTCTTTTATGAAAAAATGATCTATAATTTTCACTCTTTTCACTTCAAATTACTTGGGTCATATTCAAATACAATACGTTTGAAAAATGGAGATACGAACAAACTATAAATACCTTGATTAACAAACTGCAACTTTATTATTATTTATTTAATTTATTTTAACTTTAAATAAAATAATATAAAAATATAATTAATTAATAAAAAATTTATTTATTAGGAGTATAATAATATTAATACATTCAATGTTAATCGATATGATTTTATAACATTTTCAAAAGAATAGATGTATAGCAAGGGGGAAAACTACAAGTTGATAATACATTTTGTTGATTACGTGTAAAATAATTTTTTGTATCAGTATTTTGAAGAATGTCAACATGTAATTAACGTATATTCGATACTATGACAATATTTTCTAATAAGAATTTAAAACTTAATACTGTTGAATAACCTTTAATATCGATTCAATTTAGATAAAAAAAAATTATAAATATAAATGTTCACATATTCTGTCACATAGTCTCATAACTCATATATATCAGTCTAAACATTATTCATTAATTATTAATTATTAATTATTATTCTATATGAACTCCCCGTTGGATAACATATAAGACATATCTTTCCTAGTGTATTTTTATAACACGGGCATATTTTTAACTTAGTCTACTTATTTAAAGTGTTTGATTTAATGTTTTATATGTTATCAAAGGAGGAGTTCATATAGAATAATAATGGTTCTCCTCTTAAGCTTTTTTATTTATGTCGAAATGTTTCTAGTAATTAGGCGTTACTTGATTTTTCTTGGCCTTGTTTCAAAATTGTAACTGAAATTTTATTTTCATCTTGTCCAATTTTTTTAACAAAAACTTTATTTTCTTTATATTATTATTTCTTTATATATATATAAGTAGATCCTGAGAGGGGGAGAGAAAGAACATTGATTTTGCTTAAATCACCAGTGTCATAATACATGTAATTATCAAAAAATATTATATCAAAAAACAAAAAAAAATGATAATATGAATTAGGACAATACAAAAAAGAATAAAAACAAGCACCGTATTGCCTGTCAGTCGTAATTACCTGTCTTTCCGTAAATTATTACCACCACTCTAAAATTTTTATATCATAATTTATGTGTTCAATATTTCAAATTCTTTAATACTTTTCTTTTATACATTTATAAATCTATTAATACTCTTTTCATCTTTTTCAAAGTATCTGGAATATTACAGTCCACATTATTTGTAATACAAGAGTAGGTATAATACTAGCCTTCTTTCTCTTTTACGTCTACTTGTATTCTTTTATACAGGATTTCTAATTATTACTGTTTGACATAATTTTTTATTTGTTCCATAAAATACTCTTTATGGAAACAGTATTTTCTTACAATGAAGAACTAATAAAATACATAGATTAAAGGAATTATATACAAGAAACCTGTAATTAAAAGGGGAACAAGGTATAAAAATAATCTATTATTAAATATGAACAGATATAATTTAAAATAAAATAGTCTAAATAGAAATGAATTTTTTTCATCCAATTCAATGCCAATTAAATCCAAAATAATAAATATTTTCTATCAAAAAGTTATTAATTTATGATTATTTTTATTAGTTTGTGATATTTATAAACATCTTAAAAATTTGTTCCACAATTCTCAAAATTACAAATTATATTTTCTAGTTCTAGTTACTAGTAAACAATTAGTATATTATATCACACAAGCCCGTGAGCGGACACACATGTACACACCGATTAATGTATTTTAAGATTAGTATAATTGTACGTATTGAATGTACATTATTCTTTTTTTTAACTTGTATACTGTTTATAATTTTTGAAATTGTCAATTGCTAAGAGATTCCTTAACATCATTCTATTAAGATATACAAGTGAGTTATATATTTGTACAATTCCTTGTTACTCCATTTTAACTATAAATGATTAAATTATGGTTTTTTAAATAAGTACCAAATTATTTATTCAGTTGTGTAACGATTTGATAGTAACGAAATAAGACATTTATTTTATATCAAGGCAAATTTTTACTCTGTTTCTTATATAGATTAAATTTATTTTATATATTGAACAATCTTGTAATTAGCATAATTTTAATCTAATTATATACTTTGTTTTATAATTATTTTTATAAATTATTTTTTTTAGCATTTATCTTTACATATACACTCAATTTTACTTACTTGAACATATATTAAAATTTTAAAGGTTTTTTTAAACTAGACTTTTCAAAATCAACTCTAAAAATAACAACAACCATGTAAGCAACTTTACAGAATTTGTTTGGAGACATTCTACTTAACTTGTTTTTACTAAATATAACTTTAATATCGCATAAAATATTAACAAAACATATAGAATAAAAAATATATGATAGTTTAAAGATAGGAAACAATTTTAACAAAACTGATCCATTAATAATCAACATACATAATTCTCATTCGCATAAAATGTACAGATTTTATTCAAATTCTAATTTTATTTTAAATCTCAATGCTATATTTTAATTATTATAGCTATCTATTGCCAAACATAAATTAACCTAAGTGTCAAGTATACTTACATAACAGTCTTTCTGACATTAACCATATAACTATGAATTGATAACGTATAAATTAAGCGATAGTTAAAAGGATTAAAGACTACAATAAAATAAGATAATCTAGTAGCCAATGGGAATAAGACAGAGATTGTCATATTTATTGTATTTTGAGAA